ACCTGCAAAAGCGATTTAAGGTATCTTAAATGTTCAGGAAGAATTTTTGGAAGGATAGAAATCCTTTTCTTACTAAAAGTCCCATTCGCTCTACTATTTTGCACCCTTTATATTTGGTATTTTACTGATTGTACTCCCAAAAATTTTTGCATTTTGAGCTCTCATTGAACGGATTATTGTCATATGAAAGAAGTAGGACCGCGCTTTGAAATAAGCCCCTTTAGTCTTTTTCGGTCATTTTTGTTTGTTTAAATGTCTGCGCAACTTCCAGCTGAAACACGGTGTAGGCCCTGGTAGATGTCAGTTACCATCGTATTTCGCACTTATTTCATTTTTTTTTTTTGGTGAAAAATTGTATATATTGAAAAATTATTCTTTATTTTGTTCACAAAAAATCCACTGAATTCAATATGATATTACAAATTGAAAAATATTGACAAAAGAAGAATAACAAATTGAAAAAATCTTCAACTGTCGCTGATTTTTTACAGCAACTGTTTAAAGATCCTTACAAAGTTTGTCAATAGAATGTACTTTTATTTTAAAATTCAATTCCATTGGAAATTTTTTTCGATATTTTCCCGTTTTGAGAATTGTTGCAATGAGATCTCTTTTTTAGTGATTTTTTTAACGATTTTGAAAAAGTAATTATCTTTTAACTTTGGTGTGACCGCATTAAATTATTTCGGTATCATCTATTCCGTTTCGCCACCACATAATTCGGTACTACACTTCCATGTAACCTGCCATCAATTTCAGTTCTCAAGAAATCAAGTCAATTATTTAAATTGGTATAAATATTCGAATTCAAAAATAAAATATAAAAAACACTACAAATGTACATTAGAAAAAAGTAAGTCAAAATGAAAAAAATCATGCAAAATAAAACATTGCTATTGTACATTTCAAAAGTCAAAATGAAAATGTTAAAATATCACATTTTTACGTGATTTTTTTGGATATTATCCTTTTCGGATAAGAGACAATTCCGAATTTGTATGAATCATTAAAATCAGTTCAGCGGTTCTTAAGTTATAAGCGTAGTAACTAACACAACTTTCATTTATATATATAGATTCGTTTTTTATTCTTTTTTAAATTTAATTAAAATTTTACCATCTCTTAACATTTTGTTGAAATTCTCTTCTATTGCGATGAATAAAATTACCTGTTTTTTAAATGAAAACCAGTAAGGAAAGCTCAAAAGTCGGGCGGGCCGACTATATGATACCCTACACCACTAATCATATTAAGTAGAGCTCCCGTAAAAAGGTTTATACAGGGCATTTCAGAGCTCTATGAGATATTTGGTACAAAATCTATCTAATTCTATCGTGCATTTTACGAACTATAGCTATCTCTGAACCGGGTTTCTCCAAATTTGACGTATTAGCTTCTAGACTGAATTCGGTCTTATGTACGAAAATTCAGGTGATTTGGGCTGATATTGACCATTTAGTGCACATTTAACCCGAAATCGGATGAAGATATATATGGGAGCTATATCCAAATCTGAACCGATTTAGATAAAATTTAAAACAGCTATTCCTGTGCTCCATCTAATACCTGGTACCAAATATCACGGTTGTGGAGTGAATATTACGAATGTAAGGGACTAAAACACTAAATCGGATGAAACATATATATATGGTTGCTATATCTATATCTGAACCGATTTTCACTAAATTTGATATACTTGCTTCTAGGCTGAATTTGGTCCGATGTACTAAAATTCAGTCCATTTGGACTTATATCGGCCACTTGGTGGTCAATTAACCCGAAATCGGATGAAGATATATATGGGAGCTATATCCAAATCTGAACCGATTTCGATAAATTTAAAACAGCTATTCCTGTGCTCCATCTAATACCTGGTACCAAATATCACGGTTGTGGAGTGCATATTACGAATGTGAGGACCTTAAAGATCAAATCGGATGAAAATTTGATATACTTGCTTCTAGGCCGAACTCGGTTGGGTGTGCCAAAATTCAGGTAATTTGGACTGATAGTGGTCATTTGGTGCACATTTAACCCGAAATCGGATGAAGATATATATGGGAGCTATATCTAAATTTGATCCGATTCCTTGGGCCAAAAAAATATTGTTTGGAAAATTTCATCTCAATCGGATAATAAATGCGACCTGCATTTTGTTCACAAGAATACATGGACAGACGGACGGACGGGCGGACAGACGGACTGACATGCATAAATCGACTCAGAAAGTGATTCTATGAAGGTTCTCAAAAGTAACTATGGGTCTATCTCGTTTCCTTCTCCATGTTACAAACAAATGCACAAAGACATAATACCCTTACCACTATGTGGTGTAGGGTATAAAAATCTGTTTTTTACAGGTCTTCTGTGTAGGTAACCCTTTAAGATGGACGTATGTCCATTCGCAAATACAAAACCTTCCACAGGTCTTCTTTGGCTATAGAAACCCCCAGTTTGTTGTTTTCGTTTTCTTTTACCAATGAATGCAACAAATATGAAGCAATTATCTTTCATTCCACCTCTTCAATTAGTACAGTATATAGTTTTGTGAATGTATATACAAATATTCAGATATACATATGTATACATATTAAGTATATAATTGTGTTATACTATAAACGAAAGCAAAAAAAATATTTGTGGCACGCAATCATATCGAGTCAATTAAATATGCAGGTGAATTTCGAAATGGGGAGCACACGAAAAACGAAACGGACCACCACTGACAAAACAACAACAACCGGAAAGGACATTTAAATGTTTCATATACAGAATGTCCCAAAATTAAACAATACTGTCATAGTAAGAGTCACAAAATGAGGTCTTAAATTTAAATTGATATTTCGATATACGAACTAAACTGAAGTTGGTAGCACCACACTTCTCTCTGGCCAATGACGAGAGCTAAAATCAGTTCGCTTTGGTAAATGGTCGCGTGCTACTCTGATTTTATTGCCCAAAATGGGTTTTTGCTGTTGTTGTGTTAGAGGTTGGTCTTAGTGTTTTTGTGGATGTTAATTTACAAACCAATGACATACGTACTGGTGGTCCTCCATATTTTACTCACCCCACTCCATTAAATAGGAAAAATTGTGTTTTTTTGGTTGAGGGTAGAAAGAGAAAACTAACGCCGGCCTCCCCCGTCATTTGGGGTGGAAAACACGACTATGTTGTCTGATGGATATATTTATATACTGGAATTGTATATACAGTCGAGACCTGTTAAAACGAACACCGAGGGCCGGTGATTTCGCGGGTAGGCGTAATAGCGCGTTAAGATACAGAAAAAAATGTTATGTTTAAGTTATGGTAGAATTAAGAAGGTGAAGTCAAACAATCATGGCAGAAGAATACAGGTAGATGCACCAACGCTTGGGAGCATTGATATGTCAAAAAAATTTAAATGTTTTTTCAAATATAAGTAGATTTTTATATGTTTTCTTATAGTACTTCATTCGGAGGCTATTATAATTCGCGTTTTTCAACAATTTTTACAAATTTAAATAATTTTTCATTCAACATTTTCAATTCCAAAATTGGTTTGACAGTTCATTGTCCCAGCAGCTGTGTCGACGCGTCTACCTATATTTTTCTACCATGCATACAATCATATGTTTACGATTTTTTCAAAATTATAGTTGTGTTCCAGAACCTACAAATTAGTAATTATTCTGCTACAACGCGTTCCCGTACTCCAAAAACTAGCAAAACTTGCAGCTTTCGAGAAAAAAATGGCGCTGAGTGGTGCACATTTCTGCTTGTTTTAGCTACATGAATTTGGCCGATGCATATTGTAAATTTGACATTTAATTGGCAGGGCTAACAAGGTTGAAAAATGTATTGATACATTTCAATGTTCGCGCGTCACAACAAAAAAAAAAAAAAAAAGAAAATGATCAACTTAAAAACTAATAATTGTCGTGCAAAAAACAAAAAGAGAAAATATGGAGCAACTGATGTATTCACTTTTGGATGATTCCAGCAGTGAAGAGGACTGGCTGAATGAGGTATCAGATTATTAATTATTATTATATATTATTAATTTTTACTTACCGTCTTCAATACTCATTTTTTTTTAAATTTTTGCGTCCTTTTCAGAAAGATTCCACCAGTCCGATTTAGACTGTTTATTTTTGGAATTTCGACATTTTATCGCATTTCTGCTAATTTTCCGATCCCTTATTTTTTGAGCACACCTAAATGAGAATGACATTTCGAACTGTTCTCTCTTTACTACTAAAAAAGTACTGGAACACAACTTATATTTTCAAAATAAATTTATATTTATAAATCCTTGGTATACACCATGGTAGAAGAATATAGGTAGACGCGTCGACACAGCTGCTGGGACAATGAACTGTCAAACCAATTTTGGAATTGAAAATGTTGAATGAAAAGTTATTTAAATTTGTAAAAATTGTTGAAAAACGCGAATTATAATAGCCTTCGAATGACGTAATATAAGAAAACATATAAAAATCTACTTATATTTGAAAAAACTTTTGAATTTTATTGACATATCAATGCTCCCAAGCTTTGATGCAGCTACCTGAATTCTTCTGCCATGATTAGACGCATGGTATAAAAATACAGGTAGTCGCATCAACACAGCCGCTGAAACAATGAACTGCCAAACTAATTTTGGAATTGTAATTTTGAATGATTTGAATGTCTCCGATTGTCCTCGTATAAGAAAACATATAAAAATCTTATTATTTTTGAAAATAAATTCGAAAACTTTCGGCATCTCAATGTTCCCAAGCTTTGATGCTTCTACCTTCTACCATGATCAGACGGAATGTTTTTTACATATGGTAACCCTTTTTATATTTTCATATGTAAAAATGCTCATATCGTATGATTCATGGAATAATTGGTTCAGGAGGCACTTCATCATGCATTCATTTTAAATCATAATAATAATTTGGGGAACAATATTTTGAAATATATAGTCCACATTATTCAAAAATCATTGAGTCTCTCTCTTTATTCTATTACAGTGACCGTTTCCCCTATTATAAGTCCAATGATGATCGTTGGAAGAACTCTGTGAGGCACAATCTTTCGATAAACCCGCATTTTCGCAAAGGACACAAAGCTCCTCAAGGTGCCGGTCACCTCTGGACAATATCAAGTGGAGATTCTGCTGAGAACGTATTGGCCTGGGAACATGTAAGTATCAATTACACAGCTTTTCAAAATCAGTCTAATAGCGCGTTTACATACACATCTTTACTCTGGTTAACTCTGATAATTGCCCAATAACAATAAATTTTTATGAAAAAAACAAAGAAAATTCTTACATTCCTTGTTTTGTTATCCTTTCCGATTCTGACAAGTTAATTTTCAGCAGCGTTGCCATATGAAATTTGTTTTACGCAGTATAAGAGCACATAAAAGTACGTTTAGATTTTCGAAATCTACTAGATCTCAAATGTCATTTCCATAGCGTATACGTCAAATAATATCCATTGGATATATGAATACGATTTACGTGACGTATACGCTATGGGATTGACATTTTAAATCGAGTAGATTCAGTAGTCTAAACGTACTTTAAATACTACAAAATCCACTCGGTCAAAGCATGGCAAAAGAATACAGGTAGATGCATCAACGCTTGGGAGCATTAATATGTCAAAAAAATTTAAATGTTTTTTCAAATATAAGTTGATTTTTATATACTTTCTTTTACTACGTCATTCGAAGGCTATTATAATTCGCGTTTTTCAACAATTTTTACAAATTTAAATAATTTTTCATTCAACATTTTCAATTCCAAAATTTGTTTGGCAGTTCATTGTCCAAGCAGCTGTGGTGACGCGTCTACCTATATTCTTTTACCAAGGATCAAAGCGTCAATTCCAAAGCGTATACGTCACGTAGATCGAATTAATAAATCCAATGGATATTATTTGACGTATGGCATCGACATTTGAGATCGAGTTGATTTCGTAAATCTAAATATACTCTAAATTCACTTTCATATCGTGCAATAATAATGGGATGAAGGTGAGAGCACATAAAAGCCTTTCTTGAATGGCTTAAAGGTGAGAATACATAAAACGGTTTTTTGATTGCCTTAAGTCATCGGCTGGCTTCTTCGGAAAAGAACAAAGGAGCGTAGGGCCAAAATCGAACTAAGCCAACCTGAAACTCCTTTGTTTCTTTCCGAAGAAGCCAGCCAATGACTTAAGCCAGACAGAAAAGCGATTTATGTATTCTGACCTGGCATGAAGTCGTTTAAATAAGGACTTCCATCTGTCTAGGGTATTAGTCGATTTAATAATTCTTAAAAGATGCGTTAATTTGATTGTATCTGATCGATTTTCATGATTATTCTCTTCCCAAAAATTGTATATAAACGCGCTATTAATGGGGAACCCTAAAATTAATCCATATATGTAGTCTATTAAGCTGCTATCAGACGATGAGAATTTTACATCGTCAAAATTGTCATTTTACATCTGACTCAGAATATTTGCTATCACACACTTACGTGGTCAGGGTATTATGTATTTGTGCTTTGTTTGTATCAGGCAAAAGGAAACGAGATAGACCTATAGTTCCTTTTGATGATCTGCATAGAATCACATTAGGTGTTTCTGGTTACTCTAAAATTTGTAACAATTGTTACAAATTGTTACTGGAAGTCGTCTGTTAACCCGAAAGTTCTGCAAAAGAGAGCGGTTGGAGAGAGAAATTTTGACAGTTCTTTCAGTGAGAGTTTGCAAATTCTTGCTGGACAAATTTCTTCTTGCAATCACTTGCAACTCTTCTTCTTCTCATTCATCGACATTCAATCAGATGTTTTCTATTGTTTGTTTAGTTTCAATTTGAGAACAACGTAAAAGAATGTGAAAAAAAGTAAATATTAATATGTAATAAGAAAATAAAAGACTATTTCCAACATTTTTATTTAAAAAAACTTGTAAAATTAGTATTGCTTCCTTTGTTTTAATTCTCCTTATGGGGACAAATTGGTTTGTTTTGACAAATCAGCTGATTAGTTGCAAACTTCTGCAGGAATACCGTCTGTTTACTTTTCGCATTTTCCTTGCAAAAGAGAATAAAACTCTCTCTCAGAAAGAAGTTGCTGGACAATTCCTGCTGGAAAAGTAACCAGACACACCTATTCTGAGTCGATTTATACATGTCCGCCCGTCCGTCGATAAAGACGGTCAAAATATAGATATAGCTTCCATATATACCTTCGTCCGATTTGCCTTTTATTGTGCACCAAATGTGCACATACAACCAATTTATCCTTGAAAATACAAAATTTGATTGAAGTCGGCTTATATAAAGCTATAGCTCCCATATATATTGTTCATCCGATTTGTAATTTTTTCGTCCTTAGCCGTAATAAACACTCTGAAACAACGATATTTGGGGAAATATATGAAATAAAACTCAGAAATTTTGTCGAGATCTGTTCAGATTTAGATATAGGCCGCATATATGTATATCTTCGTCCGATTTGGCACTTACCACCAAATTGAGTCTAGAAACAAGTATGTCAAATTCGGTCCAGATATAGCTATAGGTTCCATATATATTGTTCATTCGATTTGTTATATTTTTTCTCCACAGCCGTAATATGCACTCCGTAACAACAATATTTGAAGAATATATAAAATATAGCTCAGAAAAACCTTTATCAAATTTTATCGTGATCGGTTCAGATTTGTATATAGCTCGCATATATATCTTTATCCGATTTCAAGTTCATCGTGCACCGCAAATTTAATTGCATATATTTTCAGACAACCAAAAATTAACGCTTTTGATTAAATTACATTTTTCCAATGAAAATAGGGCTCGCTGTTATCGAAAAAGTACATATGCACTTTCCTCATGTATTTCACAACTGAAGTGTAGTAAATGCATCACACGATGTGTGTAACTTCTATGCATGGAAAATTTGACACTACATATATAAAAAACATATCGTCTGATAGAGCCTTTACAATTAAGCCATATCTATGTCATTAAAATATTTAAAAACTCTTCTTCCACAGAAAAAACAGCGTTTGGATTTATTTTTCAAAATGGAATCGATGAATCGTGAACGACTTGTCCAGCAGCATCAACAACAACAACAACAGAAAAAACAACAATCCTCCTCCAACAGTACAAGACACCAAAGCCATACCAATAGTCACTCACATGATGGTTCTTCCCAGGATGCCTGTTTGTATGATGAAGCTGCTGTGGCAGCAGCTGCAATACAACAGGAAATGTTGCAGCAGGGAAACACAACACCCACAGCCAAAGATGTTTCATTGCCACACCACCAACATTATCATGCCCAGTATCAGCAAAATAGTCATCATCGGACGACATTGCATCAAGCCAATGTTCATCAACAACAACACCATCATCATCATCCTCCTCACCATTCCCAAAGTTTACACGATCTGCCCTATAACGAATTGCTGTCCGAAGAAGAATTACGAAAAACTGCTGGCCAAATTTTAAATGGAATTCATCGAGAGGTGGAAGTACAATCGGTAAATCATCATCAGCCGATAATTAGCACATATCAGGATGTTCTGCTGGACAATGGTAAGTTGAGCCAGTTTTCTATAGATGCAATATTAAATTTTAGGCGAGGGCGAAGGGAACGGGCCAGGAAACTAAAGACCGTAGTGAAGCAAAAGTCAACGAATACAATTTCCTTTAAGATATCTAGGTCTATATAAGGTCGGACAAGAAGATTACTATGGGCAAGAATTTGAGAATAAACTTATACTAGGTTTACAATTTATCTCATGCAGTAAAAACAGTGGATTTGAATTACCAATTCCCTTTTACTTATCATTCATATTTTTAAAAACGTTATTTTCTTTTATCTCTGCAGATTACCTCAATCCAATACATAAAGATGTTGCGGTCAATGAAAGCGGTTTGCACCAGGTTAGTAATACAACCGTATCAGCAACAGCGGGGAACAGTCACACTGGACACGGCACAACAACGGCAACAACTCCCTACTATGTTACCGAAATCGATCCCATCGAATTGGGTATACAGATGTCATCACATCCGAATCCCTTGGTACACTGTCAGACTCACAGCAACAACAATCATCAGCATGATCATGCTCATCAAAATCATCACAGCAATAACCACCAACTACATTCCCACCATCATCATCACTCACATCACATCCATGGTTCAGGGGATCCAAGTTCTTCGTTAAATACCGAAGACACTGATGTCATTTTATTCAATGATGAATTCAATTTAAATTATTTCACCTATAATCCGGCCACGGATATTGTTGCTTGACCCAAACAACAACAGCAGCAGCAACCACAACAACAAATGCAGCCATTATTATACCAACAACCCCTGATTACTGTAGTTATACCAACAACAACCCGGCGTTTACTAGCCACCTCTAACACAATTAGTAATTAGATGTGTCACCCTCATCGCCGCCATCGTAAACCTCCTAGTCAAAATAACCAAAAATAATTATACCTATACATAGAAATGTTCTCTATTCCAAAATAAAAAAAAAACGTAAAATTAGAAATTTTATTAGCAATTAATTTAAGTCAATTTTGATCCAAGTGCCTAGAATCTAAGTATGTGTAACACTTTAAAAGCTGTATATTGAAAAAGCTTGAGAAAACTTGTTTAGTTCTATCCTACACCCATTACATAGTTTGTAATCCATCGATATTATAATTGTAGCAATAAACCTAAATACAGATATCTATCGAAGTTGTCTTATCTATTAGTCTTTGGAATGACTATTGAAATCGATGTGTTTTCAATTTTAAAGTTTTCTGGATCTCAAAGGATTTCTCATAAAAGCCTAAAATCATAGACAAATAAAGGTATAGACTAAAAAGTTTTAAAATTTTCCCTTCCGGCAGATGCCACTATTGTTGATCTTGGGCCAGTCAAGTCACTCAGGGCTAGTGAAGTCACTCGACTTCGAAAACAATTTATTCATTTTTCTGCTATTTAAGTTCTATATTTTTATATTTTACGGCATATATAGGTAATGTCAATGCAAACAAAGTCACTGTTTCGTTTTCAATTGATAAATAATAATGAATCATAAAAATATTCAATATTTTGTATTTTGAGAGAATTGAGTGAGTCTACTGAACCTCTCTCACAGCATGAACGACATCTATTGAAGCACTTTTTTCAGAGATAACAGATGAGACAACTTTTTAGTCTATACCTAATTTGTCTATGCTAAAATGGCTTCCCATAGAAACCGGAAAGGGCTTCTCCTAGAAGCCTGAAAGGGCTTCTCATAGAAGCCTGAAAGGGCTTCTCATAGAAGCCTGAAAGGGCTTCTCATAGAAGCCTGAAAGGGCTTCTCATATATAGAAGCCTGAAAGGGCTTCTCGTATATAGAAGCCTGAAAGGGCTTCTCATAGAAGCCTAATAGGGCTTCTCATAGAAGCCTAATAGGGCTTCTCATAGAAGCCTGATAGGGCTTCTCATAGAAGCCTGATAGGGCTTCTCACAGAAGCCTGGAAGGTCTTCTCACAGAAGCCTGAAAGGTCTTCTCATAGAATCCTGAAAGGTCTTCTCTCAGAAGCCTGAAGGTCTTCTCTTAGAAGCCTGAAAGGGCTTCTCATAGAAGCCTGAAAGCGCTTCTCATAGAAGCCTGAAAGGGCTTCTCATAGAAGCCTGAAAGGGCTTTTCATAGAAGCCTGAAAGGGCTTTTCATAGAAGCCTGTAAGCGCTTCTCATAGAAGCCGGAAAGGGCTTTTCATAGAAGCCTGTAAGCGCTTCTCATAGAAGCCGGAAAGGGTTTTTCATAGAAGCCTGTAAGCGCTTCTCATAGAAGCCGGAAAGGGCTTTTCATAGAAGCCTGTAAGCGCTTCTCATAGAAGCCGGAAAGGGCTTTTCATAGAAGCCTGTAAGCGCTTCTCATAGAAGCCGGAAAGGGCTTTTCATAGAGGCCTGTAAGCGCTTCTCATAGAAGCCGGAAAGGGTTTTTCATAGAAGCCTGAAAGGTCTTCTCATAGAAACCCAAAAATTCTTCTCATAGAAGACCAAAACGTCTTCTCATAGAAGATCAAGATATCTTCTAATAGGCCTGAACGTCTTCTCATAGAAGATCAAAATATCTTCTAATAGGCCTGAACGTCTTCTCATACAAGCCTGAAAAATCTTCTAATAGAAGGTCTTCTCATTGAAGACGAAAAGGACTTCTCATAGAACAAAATGTTTTTCCATAGAAACCTGGACATTCTTCTAATAGAAACCTGGAAGGTCTTCTTGTAGAAGCCTCGGCCTTCTCATAGAAGATCACAAGGTATTCTCGAAAATGGCCAAAAGGTCTTCTCATGGAATACCAACAGTCTTTCCATAGAAGACCAACAAAGGCTTATAATAGTAGACCAAAAGATCTTCTCATAGAAGCCTGAAAGATCTTCTTACAGAAGAACAGAAAAAGGTCTTCTCATGAAAGACCAAAAGGTCGTCTCATAAAAGTCCAAGAAGGTCTTCTCATAGAAGACGAAAAAGGTCGTCTCATAAATGGCCAAGAGGCATTCCTAAAGTTTTCCTTTCATAGAGTTCCTATAATGCAAATCTCACAGTGCATAAATAAAACGATATATTTTCTTAAAGTCTCGGTACCAATATATGTTTCGTTATATTTAAAATATTACATACTTTAAACAATATTTTAAATAAAAGAAAATAGAATCAAATGAAATAAAAATTGCTAACATATATTTGTTTGTTGTTTGTTTTGGCATTCAAACATTTTAATTCAGCTTATTCGTATTCTAACAAATCAGTAAATTTATGAAAACATATCTCAGTTTATAGATAGACACGTCAGATAAAGTTGAAAAAAAAAAACTTAAATTAAAATGTTTTGAATGTCACAACATTGAAGTTTTGTCTTATCATCACTATTTTCCCTCTATAACTATTGAATATGACGTCATTTATTTTAAATTATAGTTTCTTCTTGTTTTTTGTGTAAAGCAATACATAGGATTTTAGTACGAGATTGGAGGAGGGGGGATATTAGGTGGGGACTTGGGGTCCATATAATAAAGGTTATAACAAAAGCATTTTGAGTTGAATAGTTTATCCTTTGTAATTGAAAATTCTTATTTCAACAATTCTTACTACAATTCATATGAATAATGAATATTTAGTTACTTATTTTTAAAACTATTATTTTCTTTTTTTTAATTTTTTTTTTTTGTTTCCAATCAGAAATTTAGTTCTGAAAATGCACGTGCGTCATTGCTAAAAATGTGTATCTGTGCTAACATCACCATCATCATCTCCGGCGTCACCATTGCCAGCTGTATCAGCTGCATCGCCTTAGTCTTCACTCTCTTCATAGGTGGGACTACTTGGTGAATAGGCTGGACTAGTTGGTGAATAACCATGTGAGGGGGCCGTTGGAGAATACATGGGCGAGGCCGGCGAATAATTACGCGTTGTTGGTGTGTACGTTGGTGAAGTAGGTGAATATTTAGTGCTGCCAGGCGAATACACCGACATATTGTTGGGCGAATAACGTGGTGATGCAGCCGAATAACTCGAACCTGTTGGACTGTATTGATTTGCGGGCGAATGTTGTGGCGACGTTGGCGAATACAACGGTGAGGATGGCGAATATTTGGGTGAAGCAGGCGAATATTGTGGCGATCCCGGGGGGTATTGTGGTGAGCCCGGTGAACCATCATAGGATGGTGAGGGTGGTGAATATTTCGGAGATGAAGGTGAATATTTCACTCCTGTCTGTGAGTATGCCGGTGAGGCCGGCGAATAGTGTGGCGAAGACGAATAGTTGGGAGATGATGGCGAATATGATGGAGTTACTGGTGTATATGTTGGAGAAGATGGCGAATAGGATGGTGAAGTGGGCGAGTAACAAGGCGATGATGGTGAATATGAAGGACTTGAGGGAGAATAAGATGGTGAAGTTGGTGAATATGATGGAGAATTCGGCGAATAATTTGAAGACGTTGGAGAATAAGCACTTGTTGGAGAGTACATATTCGAACCACCACTGCCCGTATACGAAGGACTTGAAGTGTGGAAAGGTGATGTTGGCGAGTATACCGGAGACGAGGGAGAATAACGGCTTGTCGATGGTGAGTAGCCAGTTGATTGGGGATTAAAGTTGGGCGTAGTCGAAGAGTAGCGTGGTGATATTGAACCATATGCCGGACTTGTGGGCGAATAATTTGGACTGAGTGGAGAGTAGCTGGGCGAGGCACCTCCAGGCGAAGAAGCCGTATAATTTGGACTAGTTGGCGAGTATGATGGTGACACACTGGGCGATGGGGGGAAGAAGGGTGACATTGGTGGTCCAGGTGAACTTGGCGATGAGCCCGGATGGGCTGGTGACCAATTGGGTGACATACCAGAAGCTTCAGAGGCGGCAGATGGCGAGAAGCTAGGTCCTCCCGGTGTCATACCGCTCACTAAAAATGCAATGAAATTATAATTATCATCCAAAAACTATTCATTATTTGCAACTTACTTTGACCCGATGGTGAGAAATATCTGGGTGTTCCACAATTCTGCCAAGGCGTCATTGGTGGTGACATGCTGGGTGTTGATACAGCGCCAAAGAACATTCCAGAACCACCCAAAATGCTCGAACCAATCGTATTGGCAATTTCAATGCCATAGCGACATTTTTCTGCATCCAACAGCAAATCGAAACAACCTGAAAATAAAACCACATATTAATAACTCACACACACGCACACATTCAGAGAATACCCCTTACCTGTTCCCATCTTTGGCAATTGACCCATAATAATATTCTCAGATACACCTCTCATAGGATCAGTCTCAGCATGAGCCGAAGCATCCAACAACACATCTACCGTTTCTTCGAATGAACATCTCATAAGAGCACCAGTATCCTGTCTATTGATACCGTGACGTGTAATGGCCATCAAATGACCCTTGGCTGTCATTACGTCACACAACAAGGCCAAATGACGATAGTTTACATAAAGACCGTAGAACTGCAACACAGCGTTCATTTCCTTTTCCACAGATTTACGCACAGCTTCAATGCCCAATACTTGGAAAATCTCACAAATATCGTTAGACGACGTTCTCACTGGATCTACATCACGTTCGGACAGAACTTTCATCATAGAAGTACCGTCAGTTTCCAGCAACCATTCGCCAATGGCCTTAAATTCACCCGTCTCCGTAATGATAATACGTTTCTTACTGTCCGTCTGCGGCAAATGCATGTACACTTTGCCAATGGCCTCAATACCCTGCAGTGTCATGTCTGACAACATATTGGCCTCAATGCAACGCAAGAACATATCGTCCTCCATCTTGTCGACAGCCTCATCTTCATCTTGGAATTTGTTCTCTTCGTTGTTCATGATACGAATACGTAAGACCAGCTTATCGGCATTGTCATCATTGAAGATACAATTAAGATCATCACCAAAACCAGCATTAATTTTCTCAGCAATCTGTTCCATGGTCAATTTCTTATCTGTCATACGCTTGCGATCGAGTTCGATACGTAACAGCCATGGTGAGATGCGTGTGGGATCGAAATCAGGCATTTCATAGTAAACATTGACAAATTCTTGATCTTCAGCAATGACGGTGCGTTGTGGATCTGGATCATAGTAGATTGCCGTATTGGCTGTCACCTTACGCAGCGTAGTGTGTTCCAGGCGACACAATACGTTCTTGGCCTTTTCTGCATCACGAGCTGCACCGCCAGTCAGGAACACAGTGAGAGAAGGAGCCTTAGGCTTCTTGGAAATGTTAATAATTTCCTTTAGACGGGGTACACCCAATGTTACGTTCTTTGAGGATACACCAGCAAAATGGAAAGTGTTCAGTGTCATCTGTGTGGCAGGTTCACCCAAACTCTGGGCAGCCAAGGCACCCACCATCTCGCCAGGGTTGGCTTGGGCTTGTTGGAATCTTGTTTCAATTTCACCAATCAACCATTCAAAGGCCTCCGTGGACAAACGGAATTCTTCGGCCACATATTTGGTACATAATGTGGAACGCACCAAACATTGGAACAATAGAGTGGCGTTTTCATTGGCCTGTTTTGAGATACGATCGTTACCCACCACAATAACACAGCGTTGCAATAGATCACGCACACCATTTATAACTCGTAGAGGAGACAAATCTGTGGGCATGCGTTTGTTGATGTGGAAGATCTTCTGCACGTTCCAAATCATTCTCTGTAAATTACAAGGCAATACAACTTTGGAATCGCCATTGGGGAAAATTTCTCTTAGCGCCTCACGATCGCGGCACAGCTGGTCCCATTCTATTTCAAGTTCTGGCAAAGCGTTGCCGCTTTCACTCAATTCCTTTATCACTTCATCGGTGAACACCTTACGCATATAACGCTCATTGGACCAATCAAATTTGAATCTCTTTTCAAATGATTTGTTCGACAACTTAACGGTCGGCAAGTTCTGGAACTCTACCGTTTCTCCCGCCAAACCGTCCTCACCGTAACGCAACTGAATCAGCTGACCAACTGAATTACGCACGGTACCATCGTAGTTTACCATTACAGATTCCATAGCCTTTATAAGACGACGCTGGATATAACCAGTTTCGGCAGTTTTTACAGCTGTATCGATAAGACCTTCACGACCACCCATAGCGTGGAAATAGAATTCGGATGGTGTCAAACCGGCAAGGTATGAATTTTCTACGAAACCTCTGGACTCAGGACCGTAATCGTCTTTGATGAAATGGGGCAGGGTACGCTTGCGGAAACCGTATGGTATACGTTTACCTTCTACGTTCTGTTGACCTACACAAGCAATAACCTGGGAGATATTAATGTTGGAACCCTTAGAACCTGACACCACCATAGCCTTTAAACTGTTGTATTCAGTCAAAGATTTCTTAGCTGAGCCACCAGTTTTGTCACGAGCATCGTTCAAAATACGATTTACTTGATTCTCGAAAGTCTGACGCAGTGTATTACCGGGAGTGGGTTCCAATTCCATGTTGTGGGCCTTTTGAATAACGTTGATGACGTCGTCTTTGGCTTTCTTAATAGCCATCTGAATTTCGTTATAGGTCTGAGGATCGGCAATTGTATCACCAATACCGATACTGTGACCTTCCAACAGCAACCAGTTGTTAATTACAGTCTGAATGTTACCGTAGAAACGACCAGCAATTTCGTGACCCAATTCCAAGAAGACAATATGCAGCAGAGAACCGGCAGATGTACCCAGGGTTTTCTTACAAAGAATACCCATAATTAATTCACCGTGCTCTACCATTACCTTGGTGTCACCGGGAGATATCCATTTGTAGGGACCATCGTCTTCATCGTCAGGATGTGTGGAATGGGTACGTATCATGTTTACGTTGCCAGGAATAATCAAGGTGAATATTTGTTTGCCTGTCCACAGGGGTTTTGGTTTAAGAATACAAGGTTGAGGCATTTTGCCATCCCAAGTGGGCAAGAACATCAATAGATTCATCATTTGTTCGCGCGTGATGAAGACATCACGTTTCGTCATTTTACGTACAGCTGTCAGTGTGTCCTGCACAATACCCATGACGGGTTTGTTGGCCTAAAAATGATAATAAACAAGAATTAAAAATTGAAACTAATACATTTGATATAGCCATTTTACGCCTTCTTACCTGTGGTGTAATAATTTGACGAGGGGTAACGTGAATATTTTCTACTTCAGCTCTGGTCTCCATGGATTGTGGCACATGCAAGTTCATTTCATCACCGTCAAAATCAGCATTGTAGGGAGAGGTACAGGACAAGTTCATACGGAATGTTGACCATGGTAACACTTTGACACGATGACCCATCATACTCATTTTGTGTAGTGTGGGCTGACGATTGAAAATAACCAAATCATCATCGCGTAAATGTCTCTCCACTTTATAGCCACATTGCAAATGTAAATCGGATGGTTTGGGATGGAAACGCAAATCAATACGTTCACCGTTGTCTCGCACAATATACTTGGCACCGGGGTATTGTGAATTACCACGTCGTACCAATTCTTGCATACGATCGATATTGAAGGGTGTCACCAGTTCCGGAAAAGTTAAATTTTGAGCAATCGATCGTGGTACACCGACCTGATCGATACGTAAATTGGGATCAGGAGTAATGACAGTACGTGCTGAGAAATCCACACGTTTACCCATCAAATTACCACGAATACGACCTTCCTTACCCTTCAAACGGGATTTGATAGCTTTCAATGGTTTACCGGATTTTTGCATAGCCCTTGGCATACCGGGCATATCGTTGTCAACCAATGTCGCCACATGAAATTGTAACATTTTTATATTTTCTAATATAACGTGAGCGGCGGCACCACTAGCTTCATTTTTACGTAATTCATTGTTGGCTTTGATGATATCAGATAGCTTGTGCGTTAAATCGTCCTGATTCTTGGCCGCACCAAACATAACGACTGCAGGTCTTACAGCCAATGGCGGAACTGGCAATACGGTAATAATCATCCAATCGGGACGTGCATATTTTGGATCCATGCCCATAACAAAGCATTCTTCGTCTGTAATGTGTTTCAAAATTTCCCATACTCGTTCGGCTGTGACTTGAATTTTTTTCTCCTGCAAAGAATTTGTTCAAATAGAATTGTGAAATAAAAAATATAAAACTTTATTTAGCAAATTACTTCTAAAAACTGATTACAGATAATAGGTGTGAGTCATAACACCTATCATTCGAAATTCTAAAAATTAGCTACTATTTTGAAATCGACATGGACATTTTTGTTTCTTTCATTGAAAAGTATCCTCCTGAAAAAGTCGATTAAATGTGAAACAACACAAAAGAGAGATACCTATTTGAGAAAAATTTGTGGCCAGATAATAACTCCAATTTAAATATTGGCTTGATGGACTTAACTTCCGTCATGGAAAATATTTCAAATGTTTTAAAAAATATTTTTTTTGGTGATTGAAGAATTTGTTGTTTCTTCAAGTATATTTCAATAATAAACCATTGACCATCCCTAACGCTGCATACGTGGCATTGCATACTATAACCTTGGATAATTATCTTTTTCGCTTCTACGTGACCTAGCAGCTACAATTCAACTAAGTATTTTTTTTTTTGTGTGACATCTTTACATTTAGTTACAAGTTATCGACTCATTGTGTAAAAATGTAACCATGGAATTTACAAGATTATGATTTTTTTGATTCAAAGAAATACCAATGATATATTTTCATGTTTAGAGTCTTAGTAAACGAACTTAATTCGCAAACAGTGGCATAATTCTAATTGTATTCACCCTATATATACCACTGCCAAAACAAGATATGAATGGTTTGAGTTATTGAACTAGTCTATGAAAACGGAAGTAATATCCAGCATCTCTAAATAAATGAAACGGCATTTGATTAAATAAAAACTACATAATTTTTAAATCCCGAGGCAAAACCCCTTCAACAGGTGTTATATACAACATGAAACCAATATCTATAGTAATATGGCACCAACTTACCTGTGAATCCTCATTTACATGCTTCCATTCAGCTGTCAAATCTAAACCTGTTCTACGCAATGATGGTTGATAATGACCGCAACCACCGTGTCCGGGTTTCTTATTGGGATCAGCCGGTTGGCCATCCTTTGTCATGTCCATATCTTCACCACCTTCGCAAATTTTCTTGCCCTTGCACAAATCATAGACATAAGCCAAGCGTTTACGTGGTTGTCCTTTGGTTTTCAAAACGACTTCTTTGATTTTGGGATTCGAGGGAGATACCAACATTTTGGAACAATAAAAGCAAACGCATCGTAAGATTTTGATGGTTTTTGTTATAAAGCCAATGTGAAAGACGGGTTTGGCCAAATCTATGTGACCAAAATGACCGGGACATTCTGTCATGTTGCCAGCACAAGTCTGACAACGTGATGTACGATCGATGACACCCTGTCGGGGATCCATGAGACCACCCAATTTGGGACGTCCACCTTCCATCGTTTCGGCAAATTGCACGCCACCCTCTGTCACAGACATACGACGCTGTAAAATAAATATTTGTTAAACTAATCCTAGAAAAACCAAATTTCCCATAAACTTACAATTTCATCGGGTGATAGGATGCCAAACTGCACACGTTTCACCTGGCGCAAAGGCGCCTTGGAATCGTTTGTAGACATTTTGCGTCTGTGTTTTTTAAATTATATCATTAACAAAAATTAAAATTTTAATAAATAATGGATATTTTCCCGGAGTCAAGTTAGCGCCCTACAGCGCAAAACTTTCCCTTGCTGCTGCTGTTATGGCTAACCTCAAGTCGAGACTCCGCTGGCTGCCTTACTGAATATTTCTATTGACTGTATGCGCTTTTCAGTGCCTTCGTTTCTGATCGTTTTTTCAATTCGTTGCGTCGTGAACGCGAATTTCACAAACTGAACAAAGAATTTTTTACATTCAATTTTCTTGCGAAAATTTCACGAATTTTTACGAATTGTTATTGGAAATGCATGTTTAGTAGTCTAAAGCTTACTTTGGCTATGTTTTCCGTTAGTTTTTCAAGCTTTTCCGGCCTTTTCACAGAATTTTCATCAACGCTCGCAGCAGGTTGTGGCAGCCGTCTGAAAAATAAAGCATTTTTTTCCTGCTCGCTTTTGCATCGGAGCGCCATTTTGCACAGAGTTGTCAAAAAGGGTACTAAATACATAAATGTTTTTCAACTAATTAAAAGCGTAAGGCGATGTAGCTGAACACATTTGAAAATACCAAAAGGAAAGTATAGTATTTTATTGATATTTAGAAGTTAGACTTTCATATTATGGCTTAAATTACACCCTAAATGAAAGGTTATGGAAAAATATATTATTTAGTACTTCCAAATTGTATTATTACTTAAGAAATTGCAAAGATTTGCATTCTTACGTCAGCGCTTACGTTGCGCGTTGTTGCTTGTCCAACGAAATATTCAGAGTTGGACGTTATTAGTATTGCCAACAACATTCCCAAACTGCAGTCAAAGAAACTAAATGGCAACACTAATGGGTAAATAACAAAAAAATGTCAAAACAGTAAGATAATTATATTATTTTTCGATTAATTTCAATAATTATTTTTCTCATTCTACATTAAGGTATGGCCTCATTATTCCCGGGCAACAAAAGAAGGCCCCACCTCCAGTCCAGCGTGAGGTTTCTAAGCCCTCAATTTTCGATGAGAGCAGCAGCAGCGCCTCCGATGATGAAAATGGTCCACCACAAATGCAAATGAAAAAACCCACAATGGGACCTAGTATGATGGAAAGGCGACGTGCCAAAAACCTCCAGGCGCAGGCTTTGGCTGAAGATCCCACAATATTTCAGTATGATGAACTTTATGATGACATGGAGAATCAACGGGATGAGGAAAAGAAAGTCAAATCCAATGAACCCAAGAAACCAAAGTACATTACGAAACTTTTGGAAACAGCTGAAAGGAGAAAATTGGAAAATGAGTTGCGTGTCGAGAGGCAAGTGCAAAAAGAACGTGAAGCTGAGGGGGAGCAGTTCAAAGACAAGGAAGCTTTTGTCACGTCTTCGTATCGTAAGAAGCTCGAGGAAATGCGTAAACTGGAAGAACAAAACAAACGTGACGACTATTTGGAAGCAATTGGAGATGTAAGAAAACAGAAAGATCTTGATGGATTTTATCGTCATTTGTACGAACAAAAGATGGGCTCCACAAAGGAGGTTAAAAAACCTGAATTACGACCAGAATTTATGACGTCTGGCGCGGGTGACAGTGATACCGAGGAAGTAGCATATAAACCCATCAAATCTGGCAAACCTGCGCAACAGAGAGCCTATCGCAAACGACGATCTTCCAATGAAGAAGATGAGGAGGCAGCTAAAGATACATCCCTCACCGAGCTTGGTGTCGATAAAAAACAACATTTAACCAATAACATTGATGCGGATTCAGATTTTAGCATAGATGATTCATCGTCGACCTCTTCTGAGGAATCAGCAAACAGTGGTGATGAAAGTGCAACACCAAACAAGAAGCCGAAGAAGAAGAAAAATAAAACAAAAACAAAGGAATCTACAAACAACTCGGATACAAGTACAAAAATAGATTCTAGTAAAATTGCCCTTAATTTAGATTCCCTGAAAAAGGATAAAACCGAAAACACAACAGAGTCCACGGTAAAAACAGGAAATATTCCAACAGAGACACCGGCTAAATTACCAGTACCGTCAGTCGATATTGAAGAAGAAAATGCAAGTCCACCGCCGGCGAAACCAAAACGTGATAAAGCTGAAGTATGGAAAAAACGTACCGTAGGTGAGGTATTTGAGGCAGCTGTCCAACGATATTATGAACGTAAGGCGGCGAGAAGTCAAGCATAAAATACGTATGTTAGGCATTTTAACTATAGCGAAAAATAAAGTAAACATTTCTATAAAAGTAAAAATGTCGTTTATTTGGAAAATATTGAAAGTTTGTGGATGGAAAATTTGAAATCAAAATGGTAATTATGATTGATGATGATATCGCGCTCTAGATGTTATTACAAGATCAGCTAAAGATGTCGTCGGAGTCTTTCTGGATGATAACGAATGGAAAAATGTTGTGACTGCTTAAAAATTGATCTCCCTGGTACACTAACTATTTCACTCCGATGCTAAATACACCCTGTTAAATATTTAATTTTTGATCTATATTACAATTCTAAGTCGCTTACCAAATGTAAAATGTTAATATGATGGCACCGCCCAATTTAACATTTTCTGCTTTGGCAAACTTGTAAATGGTGATGAGATATACGTCTGAAAAAACATTAAGTGTTTATATCTCCCACTTGCCAAATAGCCTTGTTAAATAACATGGGACATCTGCGAACAGCTACTACGTCTGTAGTTCTTCTTCATCGTCACATAGTCTTCAGTTGTTAGGGAGACTGTTATCCCATTTTGAGCCCAGATAGGCATTGGCCAATCAGTATGTTCACCGCGATTTTTCGGGAGCTCGTTTTTCTTCTCGAGATTACCAGCCAGATGGTTTTAGATACCTTGCAACTGGTTTCCAAGTGCAATCTTCTTCCAGCTTCTTCGATAAGAGAATTTTTGAAGCAGCTGACATAATAGCCTTTTGGAAGATTAAAAGTCTGATCAATCAAGAGATCAATCAATTGGGGTCCGTTTAGTTTATCAACCACTTAATTTCCCAGTATGTTGGTATATCCTTGAACCCAACAAAACTTAATGTACATCAGGACTGGGACTAATAAGGTGAATTAGGACACTAAAAAAAATACCCACCTTCTCATTTTTTATTCCGAAAATTGAAACAAAGTTAAAATTTGTTTGTGGTTTCTTTTTCTTCATTGTTTTTATTTGTTTCAAAATAACTTCAATTTGCAAAATGTTACAAATTTCTTTGATATTTTCCCATCTTAAATGTTTCTCTGAAACATTTTTGTTTTGTGTTGGGATAATATTTCAAACATTTCATGTGATTTGGTCTGTTTTCATTTGCTTTTCATTTCTTTTGTTAGTATTGAATGAATGAAATATTTCATTCATATCATTGCATTGCAGTTTCATAACATGTTTCGATCTTTTCGTTTATTTTCAACATTTACTTGGAATGGGATGAACATAAATTTGAATCTTTTCAAAATACACAATAAATATATATTGATAAATATTTTTATAGAAATTACAAATGAAATTAAGGATAATTTTCAATGGTATTTTGGTTCAATATTAAATTAAAAAGTATAAAAGGATTTTTTTATGGAATTAAAAAAAGAATAAACAAAATGTCAATGATTTTCTGGGCATCCAGGTTTTAAACTTTTCAGTTGCATTTGATTAGGATCAGGTTTTAAAAATTAATTTTATTATTTTTATATCACAAAAAAAAATTAAATTTTGTCCATTTTTAAAAAGTTTGCTTAAGTCAAATTGTTTGACAATTTAAATTATTTCATTTATAATGTGCTTGTTTTCTTATACAACACGTTGTATAAATATGTGTATTTTTTCTTTTTCAAATGCAATTTTGTTTTTAGTTTTCAACATTCTTTGTAATCTCTAAAAGTAAAAAACCACTTAATGCCACGTTATATATGAATTACAAAATGCATTTCAAAAGATTTCAATACTTGTTAATAAAATATTCTTGAAATCACTTTTGTTTAAAATAAAAAAAAAAACAAAAAATATTTCCAACGTAAATTAAAAAATATTTATGTGTTGTAACAATGTAGTGTATTGTAAAAATGGTAAATGTTTTAGGAAGCAAAAAAAAAAAAAAATTAAAAAACGACCAAATACTATTCCATGGAAATAAAGGATTTGGAATCTTGGGAACGCTAGTGTAATACATCAGGCTTTAATACGTTTTGGCGGTCGTGCTGTGTTCCACTTCATAACCCATCCCAATTGAACAAAATTTCGAGGACAATTTTTAGAAAGGTCGGTGCAGTAATGTCTATCTTTGCTGCTACAATAGATAGAATGCAAACAATTTCATACAATTACAGTAATGATCTGCCACAGGAGGTTGAACCCATTACGAATTCGAGGCGCCTTGACCTCAGTCAACAATGCTACAAGTTCGATGTTTACCTCCACCTCAACAAAAAATTATCTTAATATCGTACTCGAACAGCGATTCAGGGTCGTCTGCTACCACTACCACGACGAAGGGGACGGGAAGCCTGGGAGGAGGCAATGATCTGACTCTTGACCTTGTAAACGACAGCAGCAAGCAATCCGCCAGATCATTGCGAATATGGGACCGTTAAGACCGAGTTAGGACAATATTTATGTAGACTTGACACCCTTAATCAACAATGCTACAAGTTCGTTGCTTACCTCCAACTCAACAAAAAAGTCCTTAAAATCGTGCTCGAACAGCGTTTCAAGATCGTCAATGATCTGACTCTTGGCCTTGAAAACGAGAGCAGCAAGCAATCCGCCAGTACAGTATTTCTGTAGATTTTTGAGAAAGCCCCATGCCTGACGAGGACATGAATACCACGGTAGTTCAAGCCTTGACCTCTAGCCTGGGGTTAGCTATCAAGAAAGTCGAAGTGAATTGTCCTAGAAGGCCTAATACCCATATGTCGGTAAATAAAAAAGCCCACACTCTCAAGGCCGAAGGCAATCGATATAGATAGAGGACAGAGCGGCCTCCATTGCTAAGATGAATGTGTCGCTGAACTCTCCCGGCAACAAGAGCGGCAAGTCCAAGGAGATGAGGGATAAAAAGGCATTTCGGCGAGCAGAACCTGAAGTTCGTTAGGACGTTCGAGGGGGACATATCCCAACCCATCACTAAGGAAACTCCGGATTCACAAATGCAGAACAGTAATGAAAACAGTCGAGGCTCCAAAAAAGGTGACGACGACTGCGGGAAACCCCTGCTCATCTGAAAAGGTGGCGACGAAGTTGCCAATAAGAAAAAAACTTCAAAATAGGCTTCACAGGCAGACGGACATCGCTAAGTCGGCTTGGAATTTTACATTGATCAAGAATATGAACACTTTGTAGAGTCTAACATGATTATTTCGAGAAGTTACGAACGAAATTAAATTGTTGATATAACCTCCAAAGTATGGTTGGAGGGTTTTTATACACCCTATTTTTTGATTCATCTGTACGTGTTTTATTTTCCAACTCCTTACCATTTTTTCCGTCAGAATAAAAGTCGAATGCGATGACTTTAGTGGCTTTTAAAAGGATTGATCATCAACATGGCGTAATAATGATGTATGTGATGCTCATCCACGCCTGGAAATTTTTTGCTATACTGTGACACTATTAATAAGTACATTTAAGCTAAATACTAATTTTGAAATTTCACTTCTCTTCCCACCATTTTGCCTAATTCCTTTTACTCCACAGCTTATTTTTGATCCTTGTGGACAAGATTTTCCATATCTATTGGATAAATCAAAACTCTTGCAGCCTCTGATTTTATATTTGAGGCGTTATTTTTTAATTCTGAGGAAACGTCACCATCTCCCTTCAACAGGGGTAAAGGTGCAAGTACATAAAAGGCTTGAAGTCAGTGCTAGGCATAAAGATGTCAAATTTTAATGCAAAACGACGGCAGGATTTTATTGCGTCTCTGTAGTAATTCCTTTATGAAATGTCACAAAATATGCCTAGCCATGACTTCAAGCTTCTTATGTATTTGTACCTTAACGCTTTCAAGTCCAAATTGCTCTTCCAAAATCGCAGATTTTCTTCCATGAAATTTGATATAAAAAAATTACAAAAATGCAAATCATTGTTTATCTCAGAGTGAAAAAAAAATCATAAAACTAAAAAATTAAATAAAAAACATTTTTTTTTAGTTTCAAAAGTGGAAAAAAATTAACAAAATAATTCAATTTTTTATTTGCGTTACATATTGGTTGTTCTTGTTGTTGGTTTTGTTTACAGAAAATTAAATGGTAACATAAATATTATTGCATATACAATGAGTAATTAAAGAAAGTTTTATAGGTTTTTATTCATTTTTTGTTTGTTTTCAAAAATTTTAGTTTGCGGAATTTCATTTAATTTGAATACATGTTTGGTTTCTTCTCCATCTGTACGTATGGACAGATGGAGTGACATATGATGATTGTAAAAAAAATTAATAACGATGAAAAATTAGTAATAATAATGGAAATATGTTATGAGTTTGGGGGAATTGTTTCAAGATTTCGGATGTTAAACAAAAAAATGCTTATATCTTTTTTTGTTTGTTTGTTTTAATTTAATTTATATTCAATCAATGAGAACAACAATATTAAAATAAAATTTTGTTAGTTAGTTCTTGTTGCTGTCTTTTTTAAAGGTTTACAATATAATATCGTATGTTTTGTGTTTTAGATCTAAATTTTTGATTTACAAAAAAAAAAAAAAAAAAAAATTAAGTCTTTTATAGTTGCTTGCTTTTTTGCTACACAATATTTTTCCCTCGTATGTTCTTGACAATAAAAAGAGTACTAGGAAATATATTTTCTTAATTTCATAGTTAACTCTTTCTTATACTTGGCTGTTATAAATTTATTTCCTTTTTTATGTTATAAGGAAAAAATTTGTGTATTTTTACCGGGGGAATAGTTTAGCACCAATTACCAATGTGTTTATTTTTGAATTTTGATTTTCATAAATAAATCTTTAAATACCAAGTGTTTCTCTTTTGTGTTTTTTTTGGTTTCTAAAAAGATTTTCTTTCATAAAAAACCCGAATTTAATTAATTTTTCTTTTTTTTAGATGTCAAAGAATTTTGCTATTGTTCCTTTTAATAAAAATGTGTAAAACAATTGTATTTTGTTTTAATTGTTTTTTTTTTCTTCTACGTCTTTGAGAAATATCACATTTTGTTCGGTTTGTGGAGGGGGCGGCGGAGAGATAGAAATTAACATACGATACGATATTTGTTTGTTTAAAGAAAAGTATGAACTTTTAGAGAAAAACTCAGTGTTTTCCTCTGCTGAGAGTAGAAAACACTGCACTTTAAAGTTCATATACATATATATGTTGTAAATAGCCTTGTTTTTCCTTGTTACAATATTAAATAAATTGATATTCATTTATCATATTTTTTTTGGGAAAGAGTGTGTTTTTTTAGGTATGTATATATGGTAAATGTAAATAAATAATAATTTTTTAAAGTTAAACAAAAATAAAAAAAAAAAACAAATTATGTTAAAAAGAGAATGTGCCTCATATCATCCATAAAAATGTAGTTTCATTTAGCTTCTTTGCTTTTTTTAACCTATATCACATCACATATATTTCTCAGTTTGTTTTCTTTTTTTTATTAAAAAAAATGTTTCATAATTTCTCTTGTGAATAGTAGTTCATAATTCACAATTTAAGTTGATTTTGGTTGGTTTTTTGTTTGTTCCTCTTCTTTTATTGTTGTATCTTGTAATAAATGCAAAAATATTGTTCAATCTTTGTTGCTGTGCTGTTGTTTGCCTGTCAATTTTCAAGAGAAAAAAAACAGACATTTTTCACAGCATATTTTTTTGTTTCGTTCATTATATAGTTAAAGGAGAGTGATAATAAGTAACTAATAACAAAAAAATTAAAAAAAAAAAATTATATTGTAATAATAGTAATTAAAAATATGAGATCCTTTGCTTATTTGTTTGTTGTGGTTTTTAGAGGTTTCAACACATCATCACAGAGAGAGAGAGAGGGTAGAGAGTTTTACAAAAGAGCATAACCACAAATGTTGTGTTTTCTTCTGTCTCTACCATATTCGATTCGATTAAAAACATTAATGATTTTCGTTTCTAGAAAAAACAAAAACGAAAGAAAAATTCGAATAATTTTCTTTTGTATTCTCTATTTAGGCATTGAATTTAATTTTAAACGAATTTTATTCTACTAATACATTATTTGTTCGTTTCTTGAGTGCTGGCCATTTCTTTTTTTCTTTGTTAAAGTCTTTTGCAATAGTTTCTGTTTTGCAAAAGTTTGGGTTAGTAATTTTTAGAAAAACAAAAAAAGTATAAAAAATTAAAATTTATTTTGCGCGTTTTTCTTGTTTTTAACATCTTTCTGTCTTTCTTTTATCATTTCATTATATGTTTCATATAAAAAACACAACACACATAAAAAGGATTCGTATTTTCTTTTTTTTTTTTTTGGGTTTAATTTCATCTATTTGTTATTAAAAAAAACTAAATTCATTTATACCTTTCTTTCAAATAATGTGTGCAGTATAGTGTGTCGGGGGAGATTTTTAATTTTTTACGGCGATTTTCTGGTAGGACTTTTCCATACAGCAAAGGAAGAGATTATGAGAAATAAAAGTATGTTTAGATTTACTAAGTCCAATGTTTCAAAAAATTTGTCTTTTATAAAGAAAATGGATTTGAAAAAAAAGAGAATTTTTTTATTTGAAGAAACATTTTTGATTTTATAGAACTTGGAGACTACTACTATCACTCGGGTCTACTAAATGCACTCGGTCTCAAATGTCATTTCCATAGCGTATATGTGAAATAATATCCATTGGTTTTACGACATTTGAAATCAATTGGATTTAGTAGTCTAAAAACGTGCCCAAAGTTTTATCAAATCAAAAATTTTTCTTCAAATAAATATAAAATACACTTGTTTCGGATTTTTTTCAAAAATTGTCTCTTTTTTAAATAAATAATTCCTTAAATCAAAATAGACAAATTTTTAAACCATTTCACACAATTTAATTGTGTATGATCAAATGTTTAATTTTTGCTTTCTAGAATCTTGCTAATATTTTGACTTGGTCTACCAGAAAATCAACGAATTGCTTGAATTTCTTATAATAATAACACGCATTCGTCGTTGCATTTTGTTATTATTGTTTAAAAATTTTCTTTGCGAAAAAAAACATAAAATCTCTTTTTGTATATATTTGTATGGATGTATGTGGCGCATTTTGTTTTTGGTTTGTATATGATTTTTCATTCAATTTCTCATGGTAGTTAGTATCTTGTTTTTTGATCATCATTAAAATGTTTAGTTTTTACTTTGCAATTAGTAATTTAATGATGATTTGTTTTTTTTTGTATTATTTCTACTTTAAAGTCGTCGTCCAAGGCATTTAATTCACAAAAAGAAATGTATTTTTTTTCTTAGTTCGTGTTTGTTTTGTTCTTTGCTCTCTATGAGAGCATCAAATATTTCTTAAATGTCATTAAAAAAAGGAAGGCGACGATGCGGTGGAGGCGGCGGCTTTGGCAAGTATCAATTTACATTTAATTACATTTTTTTACTTGTTTTCAACAAGAAATTGCTTTCACAGAGAGTGAGTACTAATAAAAGGGGGAAAAATTAAAAATTAATAAAAACAAATTTCTAAATTAAAATAAAATCATAGAAATTTGTTTCATTCTTTTCTTGGTGAAATTTTTTGTTTTCATGGAAATAATAAATACAAAAAAACAAACTCTTGCTATTCTTTTGTTGTTGTTCTTATTGGTAGAGTAGAAGTCGTACACTTAAAAACAATGTAAAATTTTGTTTGTTGCTCATTAATTTTTTTTAAATCAAATTAATTGTATTTTTGTTTTAACGCGTTTCTTTCTTCTTGTGTTTGTTTTGCTTGTTTTTCTTTTTGGTTGGTTATTTGTGTTTCATTGTTGTTATCAAATTCTTTTTTTGAAATACTTTTTTTTCACGAGTTGTTTACATTCTTTGTTGTTACTCATTGTAAATTTACAAAAATGAATATTATTGTAAGTAAAAATAAGAAACTAAAATTAATATTTATATGTATACTTATAAATGTTTATAAAGAAAAAGAAAAAAAAATATGACGATTCTGAAATTCTCGTTTCTTGTTTATCAAGGATTCAACTCAAAATAATTCATTATTATTTTCAATATCCGTTTGAAAAGTTCAATGACTTGATTAATTAATTATTGATGTTTTGTTGAATGTTGTTTTGTTGTTTGTCTTAAAAAAATAAATTGTATTACTATGGTTATAATCATTATCGTTCATAATTCTAATTATAGATAAGTGTGACCAACATTTTTAAAGGGTCTCAGGCTTCGTTCTCCATTTAAGCAAAAAGGCCCATCTTCTTTCTACACGTTGTAAAGTTACAAACATTTTTTTGTTTAACGAAAAGGACACAAGTCACTGCTTGTATGCCTATAATAATAATTAATTAAAATTGAAATTTTTAAATATCACAACGAGTACAGAAGAGAGCATCATTTTGTTGTCAATGGCCAAAAGTAGAGACATCTCAAAAAATGTCTGGCATCATTTCTTTTTTCTTGAATAAAATTATGTTTTTGGTGGTGGTGGAAATGTTGATTTGTTTTAGTTTCAGTTTCCTTCTTAATTATTTTGAAATAAAGGAGTTGCGTCTCTCTTACTGTATAATCTTAGATGACCAGCATCTAATAGAGTAGATGTTGCTGTTGTTGCCTGCTGCTATATAAAATGCTGTGTCCATTAAATTGATTATTATTGTATTTTCCGTTTTCGTTGGAAAATAAACTCCTTTTGGTTTTTTAGTTGTTCTTTCATTGACAAAATCGATTTAATGCTTCGATTTTTTCTTGCTTTTGGTTTTGGAGAAAAAGAAATCATCATTTTTTCTTGGGGCTTTTTTTCCTTTAGTAGAGTAGCATTGTGATTAATTGATATTTGTATGTTAATATTTAATTATTTTATGTTTTATATTTCTTAATATTTTGTTTTTTTTTTCTCAGTAGTAATATTTTGTTATTAATTGAAAAGAAGTATGTGTGTGTGTGGGGTAGATTACTCCACAACTTACTGTTGCTGGGCAATAATTTCGGGTGTAGCAGCTCCATTGCCATTGGCTGCCGTTGCAGCTGTGGCAAACTGATGTGGATGGGCATAATAAGCTGTGTGTGGTGGTCCATATTGACCAGCATAAGGATTGCCGGCGGCAGCTGCTGCAGCAGCCAACATGCCATTAGCATCATACATGTAGGCCCCAGCTGTTGTTGGTGGCGATTGTGCTGGTGCGGCATATAAAGCTCCGGCTGGTGGTGTCGACACATTGCTGGGATATTCGACCTGGCCACCAGCTGCTGCCACAGCTGCAGCAATATTATTCATTTGTTGCTGCTGTTGTTGGGCTGCTGCTGCTGCCATAGCTGCAGCATTATCATTTTGGCCTTGTGCATTATCCATCATTTGGCCATTTTGTTGCTGTCCTTGTGGCTTATTATACCCACCAGCAGCCGCGCCGTTCATTTGCTGCTGCTGTTGTTGGTAGTCACGTTTCTGGTATTGTTGCTGCTGCTGTTGGAATCGTGGTGCATTTCCATTGGGTGGCATATATTGTCCACGAGGACGATATTGTTGCTGGGGAATAAAACCATTGGCGCCTTGTTGCATATGTGGTGGCATATGGGGATGCATGAAACCGCCCATTACCTGACGTGGCCCAGCTCCATTGGGGGCATTGAATGGAGCCCTTGGACGGTAAGATCTGTTAGCTTGATCTTGACCATTGCCGGCATTGTTGTACTGGCCATTAGCACGATTATTCCAATTACCCATGCCGCCGGCCCCATTCTTGGGTGCTCCGCCATTTTGATAGTTATTTCCACCACTCTGACTGCCATATTGTTGATAACCGGGTTTGGCATAGCCATTGGCATTTCCTCCACCATTCGCTTGATAATTCAAGGGATTATTACGTTGCTGTTGTTGATTGTTGCCATTTTGGGTCCAACGTCTATTATTGTTGCGTCCATTGCCATTACCACCGCCCATTGAACGTGCCATTTCAACTAATGCTGGATTTGGCTGTTGGCCAGCTTCTTCCAACACCGACAATAGTTCTCGGGCCTGTTTGGCATTGTCCGGGGTAAAGAATGTGTAGGCTGTGCCCAATTGTTGGCAACGTCCCGTGCGACCAATGCGATGTACATAATTCTCCGATGAATTGGGATAATCATAATTGATGACATACTGCAAATCTTCAACATCCAGACCACGCGAAGCCACATCAGTGGCAATTAATATGTTTGACTTACCATTGCGGAAATCTTTTAAGGTTGAGTCACGTTCAGCTTGAGATTTATCGCCATGTATGGATGTGGCCGTGTAGCCTTCATTGCGAATGATTTGCAATATCTCTTCAACCTAATTTGAAAAGAAAACAAATAACATTAGAGAATGAAAACCTAAATTCTCTTCCACGACGGCCAACAATGTAATGTAGGATGACAATTATCTTTAAAACAAACAAAAAGCTCACCTTAATTTTGGTCTCCACGAAGATGATAATCTTGTTGCTATTATTGGCGGCATTATTTGTTGTTGGCAAAATTTCATTCAACAGCTTGACAATGCGCTGCGGTTTCTCGTTCTCCTGACAGACTTCGACAATTTGACGAATATTATGATTGGCCGAGAGATTCATGGAACCAATATTAATCTGTATATAATCGTTGAGGAAATCACCGGCCAAAGCTTGCACTTCCTTGGGCCAGGTGGCAGACCACATGACCACTTGACGATCTGGACGAATTTGTTCAATAATTTTACGAATTTGGGGCTCAAAACCCATATCCAACATGCGATCAGCTTCATCCAACACCAAATAGGTGCAACGTTGCAAATTTGTGGTACGATTTTCGAGGAAATCAATTAGACGGCCAGGTGTGGCAATAATCACTTCTACACCGCGATCTAAATCACGTGCCTGGGGCACCTTAGAGGATCCACCGAAAATACAGGTATGACGTATTTCGGGTTTACACAAGTGGCCAAAATCACGCACCACCGACTGGATCTGTTGGGCCAATTCACGCGTTGGTGCCAACACCAGGGCAATGGGGCCTTCACCACGTTGCAATGGTGGTTGATTGGCAATATGAACCATAGCTGGCAGCATATAGGCCAATGTCTTGCCAGAACCTGTCTGGGCAATACCTACCAAATCACGCCCAGATAGGGCAATTGGCCAACCCTGTGCTTGAATAGCTGTTGGTTTGGTGAAACCTTGACGTTTCATTTCTTCAATGGTGTATTCTGGCAATGTGCATTCCTCGAACGAACCAATGGGATGTGGAATTTCATTGCCCGACACAGTAATCTGCAACTCTGCACGCATCTCAGCCACTTGCTGTTCGCTCATGTTCAAAGTGTTCTGATGTGGATTATAGAAATTCTTTTTGAATGGCTGCAAATTTTGCCACTCGGGTGTGACAAGAGTGCGACCGGGATTCTTGGCCTTTTCACGTTGCAACTCGGCGCGTTCTTCCTTGGACAAATTTGCAATGTTGATGGATGGTTTGTATGGGTTGTTGCCCTGGTAGCCTCCACCGTTTTGTGGTTTCTGGTGACGTGGCACAAAATTAGGGTTTTTGGCACGTGGTTGAAAGCCTCCTGCAGCTGCATTGTTATAAAATCCACCGTTGGCCAGCATGGGGTTAAAATTATTACCACGATAACCTCCACCATAACCACCCACGTTTTGTGGTGCACCGCCATAGCCTCCAGCCATATTGTTGGGGGCACCGCCATAACCACCAGCCATTCCACCGCCAACAGCACCATTGGCCATACCGTTAGCATTACGCTGATAATGGGGACGATCTGTACGTGATGGTCCACCGGCATTGGCATTACCGTAACTTTGAGCTGGGGCACCGACACCGGGAGCAGTAGCTGTATAACCGTTTGGATACATTTTGTTTTCTTCTGGTTTTCGATTTATATTATCAATGGATAAATATTTAATTTAAAAAAGCAGATAATAGCGTTTTTTTAAGTTTTTATTTAACTTCAGTAAGGATATTTGTTTAGGATAGTATTCCTGTAGAATAGAAAACAAAAGAAAATAAGTTAGTTAATTGGAATGTGCAGAGGAATAATGTGTCGGCTTGGTGAAGACCATTTGTAAAATCATAAAAAACAAATTTTCGTTTTGAGAAAAAATTGGTGGTGTTTTTTTAAGGAAAATAAAGATTTTAGATACGAAATATAAAAATAAAAAAATTAAATTTTAAGGATTCCAAACGTATTTTTCAAAATAATGACTTAAGGATAACAGGCCTTCCACCTGTGTATTTAAAAAATCCTTTACAGATTATTAAATATTTGATGGTTTATTTAAAGAACTTTTGCCCTGGATTAATGGTCCCAAAAACGTGGATTGGTTGCCAAGGGCTAACAGTCCCAAAAACGTGTACTTTTTAAAGAATTTTTGCCAAGGACTAATAGTTCCAAAAAGTTTTATTTTTTAAAGAATTTTTGCCAAGATCTAACAGTCCCAAAAACGTAGATTTTTTTTAAAGAATTTTTGCCAAGGATTAACAGTCCCAAAAACGTGGATTTTTCAAAGAATTTTTGCCAAGGACTAACAGTCCCAAAAACTTGGATTTTTTCAAGAATTTTTTCCAAGTTCTAACAGTCCCAAAAACTTGGATTTTTAAAGAATTTTCGCTTTGATTTACAGAGCCAAAAACGTGGAATTTTTTAAGAATTTTTGCAATGGTATTCCAAACACGTTTTTTTATGCGAAAAAACTGTAAGTTTGGGCGGGCTTTGAATACCCTATACACCATTTGGAACGCAATTGACAATTTTTCAAACAATAAAATCCGTTAAGCATTCTGTTAAAATTTAAAAAATACCGAATGTAGTCGTTATATTACGGTCTATACGACGACGTGGAGCTGCATAGGAACTTTTGCCATAAGCCATTACAAAATTCAAACGCGAAACTTGAAATAGTCAAAAAAACGAATATCGATGTACCGTGTCGACGCTATGAGGGCTATACCAAAACGTGGACCTGCACAGACAATTTTCTGTCATGGGCCGTAGTATCCATTACGAACTTCAAATATCAAATTTGAAACAATTCCGGTGAATAATGTAGCTAAAATCATTAAAATACCAAATATGGGGAGGTACCATGATATGGGGGCTATACCAAAACGTAGACCTGCACGAAATTTTCTGTCATGGGTAGTAGCATCCACTACGAACTTCAAATATCAAATTTGAAACAATTCCGGTGAATAATGTCGCTCAAATCATCAAAATACCGAATTTCGGGAGGTGCCGATATATGGGGGCTATACGAAGGCCCAATTTTCTGTCATAGGCTGTAATATTCATTACGAACTTCAAATATCAAATTTGAAACAATTCCGGTGAATAATGTAGCTAAAATCATTAAAATACCAAATATGGGGAGGTACCATGATATGGGGGCTATACCAAAACGTAGACCTGCACGAAATTTTCTGTCATGGGTAGTAGCATCCACTACGAACTTCAAATATCAAATTTGAAACAATTCCGGTGAATAATGTCGCTCAAATCATCAAAATACCGAATTTCGGTAGGTGCCGATATATGGGGGCTATACGAAGGCCCAATTTTCTGTCATAGGCTGTAATATTCATTACGAACTTCAAATATCAAATTTGAAACAATTCCGGTGAATAATGTAGCTTAAATAGGCAAAATACCGAAAATAGGGAGGTAAAATTATATGGGGGCTATACCAAAATGTGGACCTCCATGGCCCATATTCAATACCAAAAGCCCTGCTGATATAATATACATTTGAGTAAAATTTTATCAACCTACGTCATTTCGTTCGGAAGCTAGAGTGATTTTTACAGAATGACATAACTAAATCGACTTGGAATTTTATGCTGATCAAGAATATTTATACTTGTGGGGTTTAAAATGTATATTTCGAGGTGTTAAAAACTATGGTGGAGGGTATAAAAAACATTTTCCATGTAAAAATAAAGAAAAATGTCAGAATATAAACTAGTTTGAAGGGGTCCAGGACGCAGTGTAGTAAGTACATTACCTGCCCTGGTTTCTATTAAATTGGATATTTATCTGCATATTTAGCTCTTTTTGTCCCACTGAGTCGAAGTTTGCTTCATGCGATGCGTAGAAAACTTTTTAAATTCTTGGTAATTTAAGTTTTCATATTTTTCATGTTTTCTGGTATTTTCTGGTAAATTTGGCAACCCTCCTGTGTACCTAAATATATAAAGGAGTGTATATTCAGGCAACTAAAGATGAGTTTCTGTCCATAGGTGAGCCTTTTGACGAATAGCCAGTAGTGTCGGATTATATCTGAATATTCGTGGCAAAGTGCCGGCTTTCAACAAAAACTACAACTTCAATAAGGACTTAGAATTGTTATTTTCATACTGCGATTGTCGGTCCGAAAACAACGAGAAGGATGCAAGGGTAGATGTTAACAAAACTATCGGGGTTTAAAATAGAGCTCCAAAGGAGTTTAGATGTTCGAAATTATTCCCTATTTGGGCACTTAATTTGTTCGTAGTAATTTAAAAACACATAACCTTAAAACGGTGGTAGACTAAAAATCGAAACTGGAAAATCGGAGGAATTAACAACTGTAGTCACCTAACATAAAGCGCCACGAGACATTTTCCGAACAATATATGCAATATAATTTCACAATCACTGAAAATCTCACAAAAATAACGCACGCTAACACTTTTTAAAAGCAATCGATGTTTTAACTTTTCCATGTAATGTTTTGCCTTAAGACTACTGTTTTTTTCTCAAAAATCTACCAAGGTACACATGCGGTCGGAAGAATACCTAGTGCTCATACATGTACGTACTCAACGTTCAATATGACACACATACACAGTCGGTGGTAATCACCCTCCTTTCCAACCAACCCCTGTGTATAGTATAGATCTGTACTCGGTTTTATGAATTTTGTTATAGAAAAAGATACAAGACCATGGGAACAGGAGGAAAAAAAACAATACAACTGCAGCAGCAGCAAGACTTGTGATATTTGGTGGTTGGCAACCCTACAACTACATCACATACATACACACAATGAAAACTACTCATTTTATGGACAAGTAAATGAAAAAGAAAAAACGAAATAAATGGCTTCTTTTGCAACTTACCTAATGTGTATATTATATTTTTCACAAAAACTCGTTTGAGAAAATATTTGACTTATTAGAATGTATTTTTTACTTCTAATAGCGAAAAAAAGTTATAATTTATATGTATAACTTCTTTTTTTTATAAATGACCAAAGCCGCCGCCTCGCTTTCTTTTTTTTATAATTTGTAGTTCTTTGTGACGATGAAAAATCAATTTTTTCTTACGTGATTTTTTTTTCGTCGTCTTTTTATGTCGTTAAACGTAAAAGGATTTACTTTTTTATGTGCACGTTCTTCGTTGATTTAAATATTATATGAATATTTAAGTATTAATGCTACTATTTACTCTACTGGATTTAAATAAATTATTTTATTTCTAATTTATTTAAATAAAAATAATTTGTAGCAAAAAAGCGAGGAACGACGACGTTGGCTTTTTAATACAAAAACCAACCAAATGAAAACGACGAAGGTCTAGTCTTCGTTCAGCCTTCAGAGATCAAAGCCGTTTCGATGTTATGCGTTAACGGCGTAGTTTTATTCTTATGATTAGTGATGAACGTAACGTAAGGCTAATTTTAGCCTTAGAAGGGTACAAATCCCACTCAGCTGGAGCTTTTATGTAGCTTTTTGTATGCTAAAAACGTGAAAATAAAGGTGACGGTACATGAGCAGCTCGGCATCATGGCTAGGCATATTAATGCCAAATTATAAGGGGGAACGACGGCAGGATTCGAGTGCGGCTCTGGCACCCCTTGATGATATTTCAAAGAATACGAGTATAGCCAGTGTACGTTTTGGGCAGTTTTACATATCTATGAATTAGATACACCATTAGGAGGATATAAATGCAACTAAGCTGGCGTTCGCTTGCTAATGCATACACAAGCAAAAGAAAATGCAAAAATAACGAAAAATAATCTATCAAAAAACCTAATATAGAGACAACCGATGTTGGAAAATAATAATTTTTTCCACTTGAGCGTTTATTGACATTGGTTAATATAACCAAAACTAAACAAGTATAAGATGCAAATGACAACGCTGCAATTACACAAGTTACTGATATGGGAACAAATTAAACAAAGTTTCCTCTAATTTTAAATAAATTTATTTTTCATATATGAGAATATAGCCCATGCATCTCTTTCTTTTTTTCACTTTTTTCTATACTTAATTTTAATTTCTTCGCTTCTATGTCCAATAATTTTTTTTGACAGTCATTCAAATCTTTTAGGCTACGTTTCACTGACGACATAGAATTCTTCATGTTCTTCAATATATTTGCCTGTTCTCTGCTAAACTTTTGTAGCATTTCATAGTGGCTGTTATAATTTGACATAGGCGTATTTGGCATTGTTTTCAAAGTGATCCCATTATCATTTCGCGTAGAACTGGTTGCTGGTTCCAGTTGTCGGCTTTCACTCTCAGGCGATTCATGTACATTTAACAAAACAAAATTGTCATTCGTTTCGAATGCTGTATCTTCATGCTCAAATTCTTGGTGTTGGCGTTGACATTGCACTCCCTGAACAGCACCATCATGGTTTATTTGTTTCTGGGATTGGAGCAGATTAGCCACAGCTTTTTCTAAGGGACTGAGGGACTTAGACATTCCACCTCCAGTAGTCGTACACTCAGTCTCGTTGTTAAGCAATTTTTTGTTAACTTTACATTTTAAGTCCCGCCAAACCTATACGAAAACTTTGTCAAACAACTTATTTCAGTAAAATGTAACTTACTTTACCTTTTGCCATCCATAACAACATCTTTCTGGTGGTCCAAGAGCATTTAGTACATCGGAAATACTTTCCCATTGCTCCTTAAAATCTTTTGGAACTGAACCTCTCCGAAATCCCCTTGCAAGATGCGGATTTTTTTCCAACTCTTCAAGTAATTTATGAAATTGATTTGAATTTGTTATTTTCATTTTGGGATTTTCCATTTTTCTTTGTTGTCGACTTTCATTCTCAGGTTGTTCTAGCACATTTGCCAAAACAAAACTGTCAGCCGATTCGAATGTTATATCTTCAAGCTGGAATTCTTGGTGTTGGCCTTGAAATTGCACTCCATGAACAGCACCCTCAGGGTTTATTTGTCTCTGGAATTGGAGCAGATTGGCCACAGCTTTCTCTAACGGACTGAGTGTCAGCTGCTTAAATATTTCTCCTTCCGTAGCTGTGCACTCGGCTTTGTTGTTAACTAATTTCCTGTTAACCTTACATTTTAAGTCCCGCCAAACCTGTACGAAGAACTTTGTCAAAAAAACTTATTTTTTAAAATATAATTTACTTTACCTTTTGCCATCCATCACAAGATCTTGTTGGTGGCCCAAGAGCATTTAGCACTTTGGAAACACTTTCCCACTGCTCTTTGAAATCTTTTGGAACGGTACCTTTGCGAAATCCCTTAGCGAGGATCGGATTTTTTTCCAATTCTTCAACTAATTTATTAAATTGATTTGTATTGGTTATTTTGATTTTAGGATTTTCCATTTGTATGTGTTGTTGGCTTTCACTCTCAGGTTGTTCTGGCATATCTGCCAAAACAAAACTGCCAGACGTTTCGAACGCTCGATCTTCAAGGTCGCACTCATGGTTTTGGCCTTGAGATTGCAGTCCATGAACAGCACGCTCAGTGTTTATTTGTTTCTGGAATTGGAGCAGATTAGCCACAGCTTTCTCTAAGGGACTAAGTGCCAGCTGCTTAGATATTCTGCATTCAGTAGACGCACACTCGGCTTTGTTGTTAACCAATTTTTTGTTAACTTTACATTTTATATCCCGCCAAACCTTTGCAAGAATTTTGTCAAAAAACTTTTTTTTTTGGAAAAATATAATTTATATTACCTTTTGCCAACCATCACAAGATCTTTCTGGTGGTCCAAGAGCATTTAGCACTTCGGAAACACGTTCCCATTGCTCCTTGAAATCTTTTGGAACGCTGCCTCTGCGAAATCCCCTTGCAAGATGCGGATTTTTTTCCAACTCTTCAAGTAATTTAGAAAATTGATTTGAGTTTGTTATTTTCATTTTGGTATTTTCCATTTTTATTTTATTTTGTAAAGAAAAACACTACACAAATTCAAGTCGACAGCAAAAATTCTAACGACAAATGCAGAGCCAATACAAGTCAACGTCGTCGTCGCCGTCGTCACATTTTTTTATTTATTTATTTTATTTTATTTATTTCAAAAAAATCAATACATAGAAAGCTTCCTAGCCAATTATACATGTATTGGAGATTACTATAAAAATAAATGCTAATACTGTGGTAGTAATTATCATAATAATACAAAAACAGTTTGTTTACTTTTAATAGCTAAAAAATTCAATGAACAAGAATGAACGGCTCCCCAGCCATATGAATATTGAAAGTTAAATAAATGTTACAAGATTTAGGTCCTATAGCAAAGACATATGTAAATGAAAACAAAAAGACTTATAAATTATGTCCACTATTTACAAAACTTTTCAACTTTTTTTTGAAGGTGAAGTAGGAAAACGAGAACCTTCTCAAAGGAGTTGGTAAAGGGTTCCATACTCTGTAGACCCGCACAAAGAATGAGTGTTCGAAAAAGGCATTATTTACTAAGGGAACATCAATTTGTGTGTTACGCGCTGAATTAATAAAAGAAAACTGAGTTACTAGTATTTCAGGTTGCTGATATTTAACAAGTTTGTAGAAATGCAAAACAATCCTTTGCTTTACAAAATTTGGAAAAGTACATCCAAGGAAATCTTCCGTTGCCTCCAGCGTACGTACGTGATCGTAAACACGAATTTGGTAAACATATCTAACAATTCTTCGAACAAACCGTTCAATTATATTCAAATTATATCCCCAAGTTCCAGAGTAAACTTCAATTCCGTAGTTAACCAAGGACATCAATAACGAATGTGCTAATTGTTTTCTCACAGCAATTGGTGTATACTCTTTTAGGCTATAAAGTCTTCTCAAGATAAGACACACTTTTCTTGATATATCATCAATATGGTCACTGAAATCTAACTTAGAATCAACATTAATGCCAAGACATTTCATAGACTCCACCGTTTGAATAAGTGTGGAACCAATTTTAATATTAGGACAAGAAGAACCATGTCTACGTGTATGCAACAGCATTGCCTTTGTTTTAAGAGGATTTATATCCAACTTATTTAGTGACAGCAAGTTAGAAACATGATGGAGATGGGAATTTATTTCAAGATCCGAGTCATACGACTTAAATAAAAGGAAGATGTCATCCGCAAAAACATAAGGTTCACAGATCCGACTTTCTAAGGCAGCAATTATATCATTAACGTAAGAAAGAAAGAGAATAGGGCCTAGAATAGATCCCTGAGGCACACCAGACGTCACAAAGCCAATAGAAGATTTGATATTATTAGAAGAAACATACTGTCTTCGATCAGAAAGATATGAATAAATTAACCGACACGCTGTTTTAGAAAACTTACAGTGGTCACGAAGTTTTTCAAGTAAGATGCGGTGATTAACTCGATCAAATGCCTTAGTTACATCCAACGAAACAAGCAAACAGCTAGGATGAACGTTTAAATGTCTTCTAATAGAATCAGTAATTGAAAGCAAAGCTGATGTTGTATTATGGTTTTTTCGAAAAGCAAACTGAAATGGGCTAAAAAATGAGATTTGACGATAATGCTCCAGAATTTGCTCCTTCATCACATTTTCAAGGATTTTGGAAACAGAAGGTAATATGGAAATCGGCCTAAAACTCCTAATTGAGTTATGACAATCCTTGGGTATGGGGATTATTTTTCCAAGTTTCCAAGCATCTGGAAAACTAGAGACGGTTAGAACAGTATTTAATATATGCATTAAGGAACTCGATATTGCTGGAAAAATCTGTTTAATGAATTTGATTGGTATTGAATCATATCCTAGCGAGTTTGATTTAATGGAATTAAGAGAAGATAAGATTTCATACTCCGTAATTGGATGAAAAGAAAACGAATCGGCGTCATCAACAAAACTATCAAAATCAAAAGACAAATTATCAGATGGACACATATTACTCAGGAAGTTATTCGCTAAAGTCTCAACTTCATTCACATCAATTTCAATGTTCTCACGACCAATACAACCTAGTCGACGGACTTTTTTCCACATTTGAGAACCATTTACATTTGCAAAATAACTTTTTCCAAATTGAAACCGCACTTTTCTTATAATTCCTTTTGTTCTATTTCTTAAACGCTTATATGTCTTCCAATTCTCATCTATTGGATTTCTAAGGAAAACAGAATATGCTCTATCTCTTTCAATCCTCGCCTGTATTATATCTTGGGAATTCATCCAAGACTGATGATTTGAATTTGCTTTAATTCGTGCAGTTGGAACATAAGAGTGGAGTAAATTAATAAGGTTATTTAAAATTGATAACTTGCAATCAATATCATGAACATCATAAATCAAACGCAAATCAAATTCATTTACTACCTCTAAGTAATCATCAATTTTAAACTTGTTGTAATCTTTAAATTCAATCCATTCTTTCCCCGGTTGACATTTAAAATGAAGAGAGAGTAATATAAGACTGTGGTTTGAGGAAAAAAATGGGTATTGAATTTGACTTTTGTGGGCAACATAAGAAGGCTGACTTGTAAGAAACAAATCTAACAACGAAGTTGTTTTCGTGGGATGATTTATATGCGTTGGTAACGAATTATGAATGTAATGAAGACCACATCTATTCACCAGCGAGCGGAAATTATTGGATTTATTAGCATCGAATAAGTTATAATTAAAGTCTCCCATTACAACAATATTTGAGAACTTGTCAAAGATATCCGAATGCATATCCTCAAAAACATCGATAGCTCCAGTTGGCAAATAAACAATTCCTAAAATAAATGAAGATTCAACCCCAAAAATTTCCACAAACAAGGACTCACAAACACCATACTGCATACCCCTAAAAATCACCCTATGACGTAAATTCCTTAATATATATAAGCATACACCGCCACCTCTAAGAGAACAACGATCATTTCTAATTAGGTTATAATTCACGAGATCCAACAAACTTGAGTAAATATTAGGTTTAAACCAAGTCTCAGATATTCCCAAAATATCCAATCCACAATCATCAAAAATATTTTTAAACTCTTCCAACTTAGAATTGGAGGTTGAAGGGCACAAACTTTGTGCATTTACATGACCAATATTAAGATTCCGACAAAAAGAAGAAGTAAAGTTTTTCAGTATAGTATTATCAGTTGCTACAGGGCCCAGATTAATATTATAACTCATCAAAAAGGCAGCAATATTCATATATTTGGGGGAACCAAGTTATAAAAACTATATAAAAAATATTTAGGATTTTATAAAATATTTTCAATGTGAAAAAATTTAATTCATTAACTGTGGTATAACCACTTAATAAAAGACAGTTAATTGTATTAACCATGATAACAATTAATTCAAAAAAGTTTGAGATAAAAAATAAAAAGCAAGGTTATAGATTACATTGATTACTTTTGAAGAATTCAACACATTCACGAAAATTCAAAATTTTTGAAACATTATTTGGCATTATAAATTTTACTGTAAGTATTTCTCGATTTATAAGGCTAAAACCAGTAATTTTATTTTCTCTTTTTAGTTTTATACAAATTATCCAAATTTTATTGGCCAAAGTAGAATAATTATCATTAAGATAAACACGGGAGCCATCAGATCCACCAATCACATCGGATACTTTAATTGACTTTGACTTGTAGTAAACACGCATCACCTCATCTCGCTGTACAATGTTCTTAAATTTAACTAAGATTGAACGACGCTTCCTGATATACAAAGCACTATCAATAAGGTTCGGAGCAATATCCACCTTGAGCAAACTACAAATGTTAACAGCAACATCATTTAATTTTTCAAGATCACCAGGAAGTCCAGAAACAATAATGTCAGCTCGGTTTAATCTGTGTTGAAGGCAATGATTTTGGAGCTCAAGTTCCATGAATTTATTTTTATAAACTGCATCATGAGAGTCAACAAGATCTTTGCACTTCTGGACCTCACCCCTCATATCTTCGAGACCATTTGTTAAATCGGATCGTATTTCAGTCGCAAGGCTCTCAAACTTGCTTTTAATTTCACTCTGATCTTGTCTAACAACACTCATGTCACTGGCAAGTGAATTTATAGATGCTCTTAAATTAGCAAACTGTGCTCTCATTTCGTTCTTGAATGCATCATCAGAGTTATCAGCAGGATTTTCCACACAGTTTACACATTTATATTCCAGGCTTTTATTTTTGGACAGCATACTAAAAACAGTCTTCGAAATGTTTTCACAGTCTGCATGAAACCATATGTTACATTTGCAACAGAGTACGCAATTTGTGTCTGTTGTTTCAGCACTGCATATTCCACAAGGGTGGCCCATTTGGGAAAACAAATTTGCAAATATTTAGTTTGGCAGAAGAATGTGCAAATAATAAAGCGATACCAAAAATTATTTGTGGATTTGTAAACGCAGAAAATAGCTCCAAGTAAAAAAATTATTATCCTCAGCTCGCAGGTATTGATGTTATTTTTAAACGTTTTGCCGGTATGTATTGTTTATCTTTTGGTAGCTTGATGGATTTTGACGGCAAAATAACAAACAAAGACGCAGTTAGTCTTACCAAAAATTAACGGCGTAAGAAATTAACGGCGTAAAAAGTTATCGACGTCAATTTAACGGCGTAACCAAAATTTAAACGGCGTATAATTTTAATTCGAATTGACGGCTTCAAAAACAGCACTACAGGTTGTCAGCAACAACAACTACCGTATAATATACGACGACACCATCACAACAACAAAATGCACAAAAAGCGATTTGCAAAAAGCAAAAATAATTTGATCTGCTATTGATAAAAATAGGCGGCGTCACATCAAAACTTCATATGCCCGTAATGCAAGAGTCACTTTTCCACACAATTTAAGCACAATCAGTTTACTCTTTCATTTAAAAGTTTATTTTTTACGATTTTTAATTTAGAGGTTGCTTTTTGCACTTCTACCACAGCACAGCGTTGCCATTATTCTATTTGTCGACGTCGACACAAGTCGACGGCGTTTTTCTAAGAGCACCAAGAGTTGTAGTCTAAATCCACTAGATTTCAAATATCAATTCCATAGAGTATACGTCAAGTAAATAAACGTAACTAACATTCGACATCAAGTAGATTTCGTAAATCTAAACGCGCCCTTAGAAAAACGCCGTCGACTTGTGTCGACGTCGACAAATTTGATAAGGGTGAATGTGACGACGACGTACACTTGTATTGGCTCTGATTTTGTCGTTAGAGTTACAAAAACCTTACAAAATTTTAAAAAACCTCACAGATGGTAATATTGGCACTTATGCTGTCGACAGATGGAATAATGATAATTGTATTTTAAAGAGACTATTCTGCCTATGATATTGGAGTATGAATATATGACTAATAAGAATGAACAGGATTATAAAATTGTGTTAGATGAATGAGTATACATTAATTAAATTCACACTGAACTGGGTTTGAAAAGTCGGAAACTACATCCTCAAACCAAAATGTTCAAATAAATTTAAGTTATCTTTTTCGAATTATATACTTAGGCAGTTGTATAGAAAAGTACGTTTCTCTTTGCATATATAAATAAGAGTTCCTTAAACATTAAAATTTGTTTCGCAGTGCCAAACAGTACCTTACCCTGGCAATGTTTTTAATTGCAATTAATTGTATGCCAATGAAATTTATATAAAACACAGATAATCTCAATAAGCTAATAACATTTATTAAAGCTAGACTCACAATATAACGCTTAAATTTATCCTATCACGCCAACTGATGATAAATGTTAGTCAGTTTTGATATCCTTCAAACTTAATAGTCATGCCTTTACTTCGCCTCAGTTGAAGTGCCCTTTTCTTTTCCATTTATTTTCTCTTCCAATTTTTGAAATTCTTTGTCGGCGACTTTATCCGATTCATCGAAGACCTGTTCCACTCCCTGTACTTCGGGAATATAGAATTGCAGCATATTTTCCACGCCGTTCTTTAGAGTGACTATCGAGCTGGGACAAGACGAACAAGAACCTTGCATTTTTAATTTAACGATACCATCTTCAAAGCCCATAAATATGATGTCACCACCATCTTCTTGTACTGTCGGTCGAATGCGACTATCCAGCAACTCTTTAATCATCATCACAGTTTCATCATCGTCTTCGTTGATTTCTGTGTCTGCATTGGGTTTGGCTTCATTCAATATGGGCAATCCGCTGGCAAAGAAATCCATTATGACAGCGAATACTTCTGGCTTTATAATAGCCCATTCAGCCTCCTCTTCTTTAGAAATGGTTATAAAGTCACTACCAAAGAACACGGAACGTACTCCTTCAATGCGGAACAGAAGTTTGGCTATAATTGACGAGAGCTATTAATATCGCCGACATAATATACCTCATTATTCCTACCCAAAGGACTGCAATAGGCAGCAGATACAGCAGGAAAATCATATGTATTGCCTTTACCCAAAACCTCAATGCCTGGTAGAAATTTTAAACTGTCTGGATTTGGTGTATCTTGTGTTTGTATAAACATTGTACGTTGACATTGCTGAAGCATTTTTCCACCATTCAGATGGTTTTCCAATAGTTTTGAACTCGCCTGCGATTGTTGAATTTTCCAGCCATTTTGCATCAGCCCCCTCTTTTGCATAACATCTCTGTGCAAATGAAGACGACATGTATTTAATATAAACAATAAACTTATGGAATTTCCATACCTGAGAATTAATTTATTACTATTACTTGTAATATTACGTGAATTTCTAATTGCGTTTAAAATTATTCTAGACATTTTCGTTTCGGTGTTCTATGTGTTGCCAAAAAATAACCTCAAGTTAATCATGTAAACATTGGCAGAGTTGTATTTTAACTACATTTGGCATATCACTGAACATACAACACACACAGTGGAGTTGTGCTCCACACTCACACCAAATTTGGTGTTTAATGTAACGTTAGACAATGGGATACTACCAACGGAAGGCAACATCGTATATATGAAAACAAGATATTCCTATATTAAGAATGAATTCTTTATGAAACCACTTAGTCAGTAGCATTTTTATGGGGCAAACATATCTGTCTTTCACTGAACACACCCAACTTGTTGAAATGAAAAGTCAGTTCAATGACATGTAGACCGTATACAAAAACAAGAAAATGTAAATAAAAGACGGCTGGGAAAATTGTAAGAGAAATCCGGATAACACTTAAAAAAGGAAAAGTTCAATAAAATTAACAGAAGAAAGATGGGTGAACCGCAGACAACAATTACAGATGATAAAAAGCATAGAATACAAGGTATGTGGGTACAAAATAACAACGTCGTCCGGCTACTTGGTCGCTGCAACAAAATAACTTTTGATTACAAAACACAAACTGCGCGTGCATTCATTGCAGGGGCCGCTTTTCTTGGTCTAGTTGGTGGCATATCGGCATTATTTGGGTTTTCTAGGACACTTGGAAAGGCGAAAAAATCGGAATCGAAACTCCTGGAGAAAGGTGGGACAAAAACGTTGGTTTTACTGGACGAAGGGTCAGCTTTAGCTATGCGTGCACTTGGTTGGGGTACTTTATACGCGGTCTTGGGTACGGGAGCATTCTGCTTTGGTGTTTGGAAGCTGTCAGGAGCTAAAAATGTAAGTAAATTGTATCCTTATGAGAAAGATACCTTTTTAACAATTCTTCTTTGTGAGTACAGATGGAAGAATTTCGCATGAAAATGGGAAGTGCTTTACCAAAGATAACTAGTGACGAGCCGCCCAAAAGTCGTACTGACTTTGAAAGTTTGACTGATTTAATGAAATATTTAGCTGCCTGGGGCAAAGAATAACAGAAATATAAAAAACAATGCTAATAATTAGTTTTAATAGTTTACTAGTTTTATAAAATTATATACTGACACGTATGTATGTATAACTAAGTATATTTTTAAAAAAAAATTGTTTGTTGTATTATTTTAGAATTGTCTCGTTCGGTTTTTTGAAAAGCTAGCCAGGTTTTCTCTGATTTTCTCTGCCATAACCTGATTTAAACGGTGCTCACATTGATCTTCCAAATTTCTTATCATATCCATTGTATCGGCATAATCTAATTCCAAAAATATATAAGCCTGATGCCGAAAATCCAGAGATTCTCTTATGAAGTTTTGCAAGCAAGGTGCCTTTTCCAAGTATTTTATTTTCTCATGTGATAATACTGATTTATCAATAATCGGATGTTTTTGTTTGGCCTTCTTCAAGTCACTGTATGTTTGGCGCAGCAGTGTTTTCCAATCCTTCATCTCCTGATGCAAACGAGATTCATAACTGAAATGTAATTTTAATTGAGCGTGTTAAATTTGCAACTAATTTATAAAAAAATGCTTACGCTTTGAATTCTAAGCTGTTTTGCTCTTCTTCATCTTCGACTGAAAAAAATAGAAAATATTGTAGCAGACAATTAGTCGGTAAAATAATAAATGGTATACGGAATCGGATTGAATTCAAATACATAAAAAACACAAAAAAATATAGTCAGCCTTTGGATACTTCTCTTTGCATAGGTTCATAAAGAGTCAACCAATATCAATTTTATTCTGCATATTTTATCAACGTTGTTTAATTAAAATATATATAAAATATATCAATCGCGCGGCTAATTTCTTGCTTAGGGTCACTATCATTTTTTTACTGGTTGGCCTCGCAGGGGCATGAGGGTATGAATCCCGTTTGGGATTCATATTTATCATTTGCTACTGATTTATATAGCCTATGTTAAATAGTGATAAGGAGCTTTGCGGACATATTTTCTTGTGGTGTCGCTAAGTTCTAGTAGTGTAAGCGCAACTTTTACTCACAATTTTCCAATGTCAAGTTAAATAAACTTTTTGTTATATTTTGAGTTGCATTGCTGGCAATTGTTGCAATTTTTTCTTCAGGATCCTGCTCAATACTTGTCTCCGCTTCAGTATCAGTTATTATTGGAATATCATTATTATCCATTTTTAAGAGAAACTCTATAAACAAAAGCTACAAAAATGTTGTATTCAAAATAAAGGCGCTTAAAGTTCAAAAGAATTATTCAGCGAAATGAACCATCGGAGCTATATGCAGCCGCTTTGTTCATATAGTTCCTTTAGTTCATCTCATACTTTCGTCTGTTCTGATTAGTTTCATGTTGCTTTTAACTTTCTCCTATGCCCGCTTCCTGTCAGAATTATTGACAATTAATATTTTTACTCATTTTTAAAATGATTTAAATAGCGCGAAAATGAATGAAATGTTTGGATATTTTCTAAAAATTATTGTTCAAAGTATTCAATCTCTCAATTCCATGGCAAAACTGGTTAACACTCTTAATAATCCGCAATGTACGTATCTTCCAATCGTTGATTTTGTTTTTATTTTTCAATACAATTGTTATGTTCCAGTACCTGCAAGAATGTAAACGTTTTTACTACGATAACAGATTTTTCCTTTTGTGACATCGAAAAAAATCCAAAACCCGGTTCTTGCAGGTTCTGGAACACAGCAACTGTATTTTGGTACCATTATAAAATAATACCGCATCAACACATTTGATGGTATAATAAATTGTCAAAACATTTTTAGAATTAAAATTTCTGAATGAAGCCTGTTTTTGTAAAAAAAATACATTCAGTCGAATTTGAAATTGGAGATAATCGGTAAAAAAATAGATAATGCTCCCATATATATCTTCGTCCGATTTGTCTTTTATTGTGCACCAAACGTGTAATATCAGTATGCAATTTTGCACATACAACCAAATTAGACCTGAAAATAAGTATGCCAAATTTTATGGAAATCGGTTCAGATATTGCTATAGCTCCCATATATATTGTTAATCCGATTTCTTGTTTTCGTCCTCCGCAGCCGTAATATGCATTTTGTAACAACAATATTTGGGGAAATATATCAAATACAGCTCAGAAATATCTTTGCTGAATTTCATCGAGATCGGTTCGTATTTGGATATATCTCCCATACATAACTTCGTCTCATCCCAAATGGGATGAGATTTGGCACTTACGACCGAATTGCGTCTAGAAGGTAGTATGTCAAATTTGGTGAAGATCGGTTCAGATATAGCTATAGCTTCCATATATATTGTTCATCCGATTTGTTATACTTGTTACCCACAGCCGTAATATGCACTCTGTAATAACGATATTCAGGTAAATATATGAAATACAGCTCAGAAATATCTTTGTCAAATTTTATCAAGATCGTTTCAGATTTGGATATAGCTCCCATACATGGTACAATAAAGAGAAGGTAGGCCAACTTTGAAAAAATTGCAAGTATAGAGGTCTACCTGTTTGGCTTGTAATGTCAGAATTAGTATCAAAACAATAAAAAATCAAACAACTTGTTGCATTTATTTTGAATAAATAATTGAAAACCACGATAAGTGAATGAAAGGTCAACACTTCTTTTTAAAATCATGTACTATATATCTCTAAAGGATTATTTCGCTACAAAAACTCTAGATTTTGTCGATGCATACGTTGAAATAAACATTTTGAAAACACCCGAATTTGAATGTTTTCTGAACAATTTTTTTTGTTATTGGAAAGAAAACACATACATAAACAAATAAAGATGACATATTAAGCCAAGAAAATAAAATAATTAAAATCATATGGTATCATAGCCCTACCTTGATATCATAGTACCATGCTCGACTCTGTCATTTTTTTAAATGGTTTTTCATATCTAAAATTGTACGTATGACGAATGGCATATTTTATAAAAATAATAAAAAGTCTATTTTTCAGCGTTCTTTGGCTTAAGCTTTGGGTTATAAAAATATAAATTTTAAACTCGGCATTTTGGGAAAACTTTCTAGGTGCTGTTAGTTCCTCTGTAATCCTTAAATAACATTTTATTTTATGCCAGTTTCTAAGGATCAAACCCCCAGAATAATCGGGTGAAATTTGTTTGGAACAATCTGATAATTTCCTCCAATGAAATTAAGACAAATTCGACTGAAAAGTCGGAATGACAATCTTCTATCATTATTATAACCATGGCAGAAGAATACAGGTAGATGCATCAACGCTTGGGAGCATTGATATGTCAAAAAATGTTTTTTCAAATATAAGTAGATTTTTATATTTTTCTCATACGACGTCATTTGGACGGTATTATAATTTGCGTTTTTCAACAACTTTTACAAATTTAAATAATTTTTCATTCAACATTTTCAATTCCAAACTTGGTTTGACAGTTCATTGTCCCAGCAGCTGTGTCGATGCGTCTACCTATCTCTTCTACCATGCTTGGGAGCATTGATATGTCAAAAAATTTAAATGTTTTTTCAAATATAAGTAGATTTTTATATGTTTTCTTATACGACGTCGTTCGGAGGTTATTATAATTCGCTTTTTTCAACAATTTTTACAAATTTAAATAATTTTTCATTCAACATTTTCAATTCCAAAATTGGTTTGACAGTTCATTGTCCCAGTAGCTGTGTCTACGTGTCTACCTATATTCTTCTGCCATGGATATAACCAAACAAGACGCGTTGCTTGATTTTCATATTAGTCTTAGCTGCCGCAAAATGATATTTTAAAACAATATTCAACCATTTAATAATCAAACCTTACGTGACTTATTTTACGGTTCTTTTTAGATTCTTTTTAACCTGTTATCAAATTTGACACTAGTATTGCAATAGAGGCAAATCGGCTGGGTTTTTGTTTGTTGTACATGTTTGTTTATCTCATTCGAACGGTGGCCACCTATTGGTGAATAGTGTGATTAATAGCAGATAGTGAGTGTAAGTACGCCCAATTTATCTATGAAGGCGGTAATACACTGCAATTCAATTTTAATCCGTTACATTTTTCGTCAATTGAAAAAAGCAAAACCTGCGAAACAAACGGAAACCCATAATTGTAAAAAATAGAAACACTTTTCAATTTGAAAAAAAAAAAAATACTTAAAAGAGTATATGTTTTGAAAAAGAAATTAATAGTCCAAAAAATAAAAATATATGAAGCGAACTATTGTTTATCTTTGGCTGACCAATTTCCCATAAAATAAATTATTGCATAAAGCATCAAGAAAATCTTGCAAATAATCTTTTAATAAGGCAAGCCAAGCTAAAGATTTGGCGAATTACGATTTTTGGTGGCATCCAAGGTAAGAGACATTTCATTCGTTGTGGCTTTAAAGAATATATTTAAATAATTGTGGATTATTGTGGACTATGTTTTTTGAAGGACTTTAAGTCCAATGAGATGGATTTTGAAAGAAGTATATATAAGAGCTATTAAGGTAATTTTTAATACTATTTCTTCAAATACTATCTGACCTACAATTGGGGATTTTTTGAACATATCTTAAAAGCTAGTGCAGTATTAATGAAAATTTCTTGAAGTACTAGCTGAGCCAATATCGTGAAATTTTGAAGACTGTTTTATAAATGACGAGGATTTTTAAAGAATATGTCCTTAGAGACGAGGATCTTTAAAAAAAAATATTTCTTAAAGGACGTGGATTTCTTAAAAACATTTGTAAAGGTAGACGATATTCTAAGAACACTTCATAAAGAATGTGATATTTTTGGAAAATTTTTTTAAAGGACCCGAAACACCGAGGACGTGGAAGAATATGTCGAATTGACTTTCTAAAGACTATTTCTCCGTTGTGAGGGAGGTACCAGAAGGAATGGACCGATATATTCCATCTTCACATCAAACCTTGGGTTAATAACAATATTGTGATGTGTGTAATTTGAAGAGAACCCGATGCTTATTTTAGATTTTATGATCGTTTTTGTTATTCAAATCTTTGACCCTTTGCGGGGGAGGTACCACAAGGAATTGTCCGAACTCTACCATCTTTATGGCAGATCTTGTGGTAATGGAAATATTAAGATGTGCCAAGTCTGAATGAAGTCGGATGTTAATTTCGTGTTTTATGAGCTTCATGGATATTCAAAATTTTGACCTTTTGTGGGGGAGGTACCGGAAGGAGTGCACCGGTATATCCCATATTCACACCAGAAGAAAATCGTAATTTGAAGAAAATCGGACTCCTACATCACATTTTAAATAAGTTATAATTATTAAAAATTTTGGCCCTTTGTGGGGGAGGTACTGAATGGAATTAACCGATATTGTTCATTTCCGCACCCGACCTGGCACTGATGCAAAAATTGGATTTGCAAAGTTGGAGCAAAATGGGATTATCCTTTCTCATTCTGTCTAGAAAATTATTTTCTTTGAAAATGTTGACATTTTGTGGGTGTGGTATCAGAAGGAGTGGACCGATATTGCCCATCTCCGAACTCCATCTAAGTTTGACAATAATATTACGATGTACCAAGTTTGGATCAAATCGGATACTCCCTTCGAGAGCTAACTTGCGCACCAGCCAGCCAGGCGGACGGACATCGCTAGATCGACTCCAAATGTCCTGAAACGGATTTGGTCCAAAGAGACCTAAAAACCATTATTTTGATAAGGCACGTCGTTGCGGTATAAAATGATATATGCCCTCTCCACCACATAGCTGAGGGTATAAAAAAGATGTGAAGTAATAGCACCCAGGACTTTCCTCCATCTGTCCAATCAGTCTCTCTTAAAGTTCTCACCTCCTTTTTCTGCCGGCTTCAATTTCCAGGCTGAATTTCCCTCATATGCTGAATTACCTTTTGCAGCCAATGGTGTGATATTTCTCTGGTAACGCCTTCTTACAGAGCTTGGATAGCTTATCGTTTTAGCGTTGCAAGCGTTCATAATTTCCTGTCACTCCTGTCTGCCTTTTTCTAGCTGCACCACTTCCACTAGGCATCTTCATCTTTCTGACAACTTGTGCTGCCTTGAGCATCTTATTACTCCAGAGTCGAAGATGTCCATCCTATATCGCCTTGATCTTCTTGGTGTATAGTTCATCGCTGACTTCTGTCCTTTTCCTTTTCGTCACGATGGACATCTCATCATTAAAGCACTGCAATTCGACTAGGCATCTTCATCTTCCTGACAATTTGTGCTTCCTTGAGCTTCTTATTACTTTTGGGTCGTAGATGACCATCCTC